TCATTCTTAGCAGGCAAAGCGGGATGCCAAAGATGTGTCTCACCTGGGGCTCTTTTTAGACTGGAGAGAGTTCCAAATGTAAGGTTGGCATGGAGGGGGAGTGGATTGTTATGGTGGTGTATGGAAGAGTTATTGTTTGAGCTGCATCTTGTCCTGATCACACACAACAATAGGATTGTTCCCTGTGCTGGCTCAAGACGTTTTGCCTGAGCAAGCCCAAATAATTTGTCTGAGATGAAACCCACATATTCCTTCCCTCTCAGAGCCAACACTGAAAAGTATTGTTGCCCCATTCTGACTGCTAATCCTGCCTCCATCTATTCATTTTTTCTTCCTTTCTAAGACCTCAACCCTGTGCATATTGTCTTGTGAGTAATTCCCACTGAACTCAGTGGAACTTACGGTAATTCCAAGTATACCTACATAGCATTATTCTGTTTATTTCACCCAATTTCTCTCTCTCTCACTCTCTCTGTTTTTCACACACACACAAATACATGTCTTGTTTCCGCCTTTCTTAGGAGAATTTCATACCCACTAGGCTATCTGCTAACTAGGCAATAGAAAATATCTCACAGAGGAAGGGAACCTGTCTCTTTCCCTGTGGCTTCTAACAGGTGTTAACACTGGCAAAAAAAAACTTAAGGAAAGCAAACATGAGTAACAGGCTTTGTAAAAACAAGTTTACTTCAAAATATCAGCAGTATTTACATAACAGCATTTTGGCAGCATTGAATGCATGCACTTAAAAGTGTGATATTGGTAGCTGTAACAGACAAGATCATAATATTGCCAATCTATTTTTCTCAAACATCCATGACATACACAAACAGCTATACTGGCTTTGCGGTGTGGCTTAGAGCTGGGATGGTGAAGAAAAAAATGGAAGGAAGGGAAGGAGAAAAAGAAAGACCAGAAGCAAGAGAAGGGGAAAGGGAGAGAAAATGGAGGTGAAATAACAGGAGGAGGACTACAAAGAGGTAAATAGGTAGAAAGCAAATCAGAGAGAAAGGTTTAAGGAAAGTCTGAGCTGAGTAAGTCTCAAACACTAAACAAAAAATTTCCTCTATAACTTGGCCTTTGGCCAGTTAGCATTCTATGACCTTTTAAATGTGTTTCTGTTTTACTATGCATTTTGTGTTCTCCTTCTGTATTTTTATGTTGTGAACGGCCCCGTGATCTTTGGATGAAGGACGGTATACAGATTTAATAAATAAAATAAAATAGCAGATAAAGCAAAGCATAGGAAGGGGAGGCACACAAAACAAAGGATTTCTACTTCACAGATTTGTGTAGCAGCTGGTATCCCACTAGCAAAGGGCTGACTCTTCTAGTTCTGACTTTAATTATGGCCAGTTGAAGATCCTCTATGAGTACACATGCTGCCCTTTCTGAAGGGAGCGACGGCAGCCAGCTGTTGGCCCACCAATCAAAGGAAAGAGTTTTTCCCAGGTGACAAGAAGCACCCCAAAAGAGTGGTCTCCTCACTGCGCCAACAGCCTAGATCACAGAGATGAGGAAATGTGGAGGCTGTCAGGAGCTTGTCCTACACTCGAGTAGGACTCTGGCAGAGACACATGCCCAACTGGCATGTTCTCTCCCTCCTGGTCGATCGTTCGGGAGCTTCAAAAGCTTTCTTCAGCCCGAACATCACAGCGACCAATGCCAACAAACACCGGCACACTTAGGGATCCGCATAGTGTTCGCAGTTTGCTTAACAGACCTCAGCAACGCAGCATTTTGGCTAATCTACTTTATTTACATATAAACACGCACGGAACACTGCAACATGGCTCCCTTTCTCTCTAGCATCAGACAGTAAAGAGAAAGAACAAAGGACAATAGTCCCACTTCACGGAACACAGTAACACAAACATCCTGTCTCCGTCACTTCCCACTCTGTGGAGTCAAAACATACAGTGTCATGTGATAGACAAAAATCCCATGACTGCAATCATGGAGCAGGAATTCTAACAGAGGCATGGGAGTGGAAGTGAAGGTGTTCCCATCGCTGCCATAATGCACCATCTGAGCAAACGTTTTCCTAACGATGGAGCTGTCCTTGGTCCCCTCCCAGCTCAGCTACTGTAGCTTTCTGATTTGATTTACAGAACTGCAGAAATGCAAAAGAACAAAAATGCAACAAGAACAAAAATCCATTTGTGAAAGATATAATTCCACTCCTCAATAAAGCTTCCAGAGCGGCTTACAAATTGCAGCCTGATATTTTTCCTTCATATAAGTTAGGAGAAAAAGCTACAGGGGCAAAAGGAAAGGCAAAAGTAGGCTCCGAAATCTCTTTTTGTGTGTGTGTGACTCGTGCGACTTTAGCAGTGCTTAAAACTAGATTTACAATTTTGTCATTGAATACTTTGCAAACAGTTGCCTGGAACACTGAAGGAAAACAAGTAGGGAAAGATAATCTTTATCTAAGCAGAGAATCATTACAAGTGAGTCAGATGATTAAACTTTACAATGGTGTTCAAGTGAAATTAGTAAAACTGTGTCTACTGCAACACTTAACCTGCTTTTATTTGTGGTTCATCTTCTGTCTTGCTTTCCCTCTTAAGTGTATTATTTCACAAGGGACTCCTCATTAAACTCAGGGAGTTAAGCAAATTAATTTACTGTAAAGACTATGCCATTTTGTTCTCCCTTTTTTTATTAACAAACATTAGACACAGCACTTTCTGCCTTTCCCCCCTGTCAAGTTGCAATTCACATGATATTCAGATTTGGGAATACAGTAATAATCCATAATCTAAAGATGCTTACTTCACTGAATGAAGGCTTGAAATATTTCCCCTCCCATACATAAGAGAGAATAGTACAGTGCAGGCTCATAATAAAGAACTGAATCTTAACTTGTTTAAAAATATGTATTATTTGCCACTGCAGTCGGTGGAAGCTTCTCAACACCTCTGCACACTTCAGGAAGGGCCAAGAGGACTCCTTCTTCAGAGCGCCACTGCCAGTGTTTGCTATGGCAACTAGAAATACTGTTTTAACTTACAGTGTTTTAAATATATATTTTTAAAACTTAGTTTAAAAGGCTTTTCTGCCTGCGGCAGTAAACTGCAGCTGCAATGCAGGCATTTTCTGAGCCAATATGAAAAGAAGGATCTCTATTGGCCTTTTATCAGAGCCCAGTGGAGCAAACAGGCTGGGGAGACTTGTTTAAGTCCCTGCCATTGTCCACACACCTCCAGCCATGTCTGGTGGTAAGGAAGGTCGGACCAGTGAGCAGTGTTAAAAACTGAGATACGAAAGCTAGGAGCTAAATGGCACCTTAAACCTTGGTTAGAGGTGCAACAACGGAATGTCTAGGCACACTTTTTGTAGCAAGAATACAAAGTTGAAAATGAATGAACTGCAGCTAAAATGTTATGTTCATTTTTCGCATGGTTTAGTCCAGGGGTAGGCAACCTAAGGCCCATGGGCCACAAGCAGCTCACGGGGGTCGTTTAACCGGCCCACAAGCCACCCCTGAACCGAGCCACCTGTTCGATGAGTCCCCGCGCACTGCACTGAACTGGCACAGTGTGGTGCAGGGACTTGCTTCCGTGGTGCTGGAAATCACACCTGCGCAGACACCGGAAATTGCATCTGTGCAGATGCAGAGCCCGGAAATTGCAGGCACGCATGCTCACACACACACGCTATCTGTCCCACAGAGGGATCTCCGCTGGAGTGAACCGGCCCAGGCGATGTAAACCTTGCCGACCTCTGGTCTAGTCCTTCCCCTGCCCACCCCCCTAATATTCTTAAGAGGGTCTCTTTTCCAGTCTTTTCCAGTGAGGAGGCAGAAAAAGGTCTTCCTTTCCATTCACTTTGCAGTTTTAATTGGAAATCTTAGGTGCAGTACTGCACCCAGAGCTAAGAAGCTGTTCGTGCTCATGAAATTCCCTGTCACACACTGTCCCTGGAACAATGGGAGTTTTGAACACTGGCAGTGAGAGGCCCTTTTCAGCTCTGGGGCACTCAGCTAATGCCCAAACTGCTTTACCACTGGTCTGGCCCTGCATAGGATCCAGATGATGAGCAATATCAAAACAGTAGATATTAGGCTGCTGAGTCAACAATAGACTGTGTTGTCCTTTCTGGGAAAACAAGGTGGATCTCCAAATTCTGCAAGTTAGATATGACAAGAATAGATGCCGGTGGAGTGTAGCACTGTTGCTTTGAGTTAGCTGTGGATTTATTTTAATTAAATTCTAACCCTCCCTTAAAGGGTTAAAATTGAATATTGTGGGTGTTGAGGTCCTTCCCTGACCCCCACCCCCACCCCCCACTCCATCTCTTGCTGGTTTTAATGGAACAGAACGAACTGCTAAGCTATTTGAAGAAGACCGAGTGAGTGTTCAAATGACAACTGAGCATGTTTTCCTCCTCAATCTTTTCATCTTTTGTTTCAGAAATTCTTTTATGCTATTATGTTAACACGTCAAATAGGTCAAGGTGCATCCTGTACTGGAATGAAAATGGGGGGGGGTTAAAATAGTCTTTGTTTGAACAACAACACAAGCAGCAACAACACCTCACAGATTCAAGGACAAATTCAAGCAGAGAAATAAATCCTTTTGGTGACCCCCACAAGCTAAAGTTGCAAACATCCTTGACAAGAGGCATACATATTGTTTTTGTTTTTAATCCTTCTGGGGGTTTACTCTAAATTATTGACTTCATGTTTAAAATGGAATGTGTTAAGAGGGAAAAGAGATTTATAACAGAAGAACCACCCTTTTGTGTGCAAAGTTGCCGTTCACATAGATACCTGAATCATTTTTAATTACTTCAACTTGAGGGTGAGGAGAAGCTGCATCCTACCACACGCCTTCTTGACCCTTGACCCTCAGTTCAGAGGGAATAGCCAAGTGGATCCAGGGATTAGTTGATGCCTCACTTTAGGAAAAAGTGCTTCAGCTGTCCTTGAAAGAGGAGGTGGTGCGTTCTCTTCTTAAGATGTCTTCCCTGGGCCTGGAAGAAGCGTTGTTCTTGTCATGGTACGGCCCATGTAGCCATTATGTGATGGCACCCACAACACTTTTATCGAGATATAAGTACTGTTTCCTCATGTTTACCCCCCCTAAAAAAAAAAGCACTAGAACTATTGGATACTATTGTCCAATCACTAGTCCAAGACGCTTAAGAAAGTGGTTGTGGGGCCACTTCAAGCATGCTCAGATGAATGTCCATTTAAATCCAGCTTCTGTCCAGTTTTGGGAGCAGAAACAGCGCTGGCTGTCATGACTAATGACCATTCCATTATCAGGATAGGGACAGGGAGAATGTTTTAACTGACCATGGTATTTTCCTGACTGAGTTGGGACTTGGAGGCATTGAATTGCGGTAGTTCTGCTCCTATCTCCAGGGATGGAGCCAGAGAGTAGCATTGGGTGACCTCTGCTCAGCCCTGCGGTAGCTGTCCGACACGGTCCCACAGAGTTTGATCTGGTAGCCCAAGCTATTGATCACCTGCACAAAGCCTCTGGTATCAGCCATCAGGGGATTTGGAGAGAAATGTCATTAGTACCCTGATGGAACTGAGCTCTGTTCCTTTGATACCAAGAGGTCCTGGAGATGTCTCTACTGTCTAGAGGTGGTAATTGACTGGATGTAGGACAATACATTAAAGTTAAATCCAGTCAAAACAGAGGTGTTGTGGGCAGGACATCCGGATGCCCAGGAATTGGGAGAACATCCAGTTCTTGACAGAGCTTTGTCACTCGAGGTTCAGGTGGCCTCAGTGAGTAGGACCACCTATGCCTGACTTTGTCAGGGATGCCAACTATAGCCATTTCTGGGAAAGGATTAGAATAGCTATGGTTATTCATGCTCCTCCAGTGTGGCCAGTGTGGTGTAGTGGTTAAGAGCTGTAGATTCATAATCTGGGGAACTGGGTTCGTGTCTCCGCTCCTCCACATGCAGCTGCTGGGTGACCTTGGGCTAGTCACACTTCTCTGAAGTCTCTCAGCCCCACTCACCTCACGGAGTGTTTGTTGTGGGAGAGGAAGGGAAAGGAGAATGTTAGCCGCTTTGAGACTCCTTCGGGTAGTGATAAAGCGGGATATCAAATCCAAACTCCTCCTCCTCCTCCTCTTCTTCTTCTTCTTCTTCTTCTTCTTCTTCTTCTCCAAGTTGGACTAAGGTAATGCCCTCTTTGTGGAGTACTGTAATGCCCTTTTGAAGAGAGACTGTAAATATAAACTAGTGCAAAATGCAGAAGTCAGGGTGCTAGTAGGGTCATCAGGCTGCAAATATATTGCTCCTATTTTTAAAAAAGCTATGCTAGTTGTTGATTGTTCTCCATGCCTAATTGAAGCTGCTTTCTTTGGTATCTAAAGCCCTTAATGGCCTGGGACTCAAATATCTGCAATCTTCCATACTGGCCTGCCTGTGTCTTAAGATCAGAGAATGAAAGCCAGCTTGGTGGTTCCTGCATAGGATGAAGTGTGGATGCCTAGAGAAGGGCCTTTTCGGTCGTGGCTCTTCATATGTGCAACTGCCTCCCTACTGAGGTACATCTGGCCTCACCTTTGTGTAATTTTAGGTGATTGGTTAAATCAGATCTTTTTTAATCAGGTGTTTCGAGGATAACCCCAACTGGACACACTTTAGTTTGTTGCTGCTGCCACTAGTTTCTGTGTTATATATTTAGAAGTTGTGTTATTTTATGGATTTTATGCTCTGTTTTTCTCTTGTTTGATTTGGCTAAAAAGTGCCTGTGGCTTGTGCAAAAAGGCAGCATGGTATATCAATTAATCAATCTTTATTATGGTCAAAGAGCGGACAGCAGTACAGTACATAAATCTAAATAAATAGATAAATACAATACGAAAATCAACTGTGTATAGCCACATGCACACATATTACTGTTAGAATTCCTGCTCCATGATTACAGTCATGGGATTGTTGTCTATCACATGACTGTATATGTTTTGACTCCACAGAGTGAGAAGTGACGGAGACAGGATGCTTGTGTTACTGTGTTCCGTGAAGTGGGACTATTGTCCTTTGTTCTTTCTCTTTGCTGTCTGATGCTAGAGAGAGCCATGTTGCAGTGCTCCATGTGTGTTTATCTGTAAATAAAGTAGATTAGCCAAAATGCTGAGTTGCGGAGGTCTGTTACGCAACTGCGGATCCCTAAGTGTGCCGGTGTCTGTTGGCATTGGTCGCTGTGATGTTCGGGCTGAAGAAAGCTTTTGAAGCTCCCGAACAATCGACCAGGAGGGAGAGAACATGCCAGTTGGGCATGTGTCTCTGCCAGGGTCCTACTCAAGTGTAGGACAAGCTCCTGACAATTACTACAATTTCCATATATATATTCATCACTTTAGGATCGTATGTCAGACACACATCCTAGTAAGGACCCTGTTGCTCCCACAGCCTTTGGTGAGGGTGGGGCTTCTCTTGCTCACCAACCATATGGGAGTTTCCAATCTTTCTCCGTATCCTAAGTGAGTTAGGATCACCTTCTCAACTTGCATTAACTCTCTCGGCAGATGGTTGGGGTTGGGAGAGAAGTGTCCTTTCAGATACAGCACACTTCTTGCTTTGCATGATTACAAAAAACAAAACAAAAAAAGCAATACAGTGCATGATCTTTGAGACTCTCACTTTTTATTGAAATTCACTGCGTCATATAGCACAGAATGGTTTTATGCAAACACAAGAGAGATGCAAACGTTGTGTTCCGTACAGTGTCCCCCATGAGAAACATATGCATTTGGGGAAAAGACCATTAAACAGAAAAGAAAATGATTTTAATAATATAAGTAAGTGCCTTTTTATATTTCACAAGTGTGGTTTTTGAAAATGCAAAGCTGGGGGATCTGATAAATAACTATATTGGTACAGGCATGGAGGAGAAATTTAACCCTTTCTTCCCTTCCTGTGGGCCTAAGAAGACTTTTTTTTTTAGCTAATGCTTGTATTAGGAGGAAATCTTTCCTCTGGCACTGATTGCAAATATCAGCTTCAGAGGAGGGATTTTTCCTCAGGACAACAGCAAGGGAAGAAAGGGTTACTTCTTCATGCCTGCAGTGATCCTAGTTATCACACACAAAGACACCGACACCCACCCCTCACTGTTATTTGCATTTTTGAAAGCCTGTATGCAAGGATTCAACTACCAGATTTTGACCTCCCTCCCCTCCCCTTTCATGCTGTTCTGGGAATTCTCCTGACCATCACTCCTGATTCCATTGTGCAAGTGGAAGTCCTTGCACTGGTCTTCTGCCAGCAGGGCTCATTAAATGAATCCTGCCGTTTATGTCACATCTAGTTTGGCCTTTACTTGGTTCTGTGCACAAGTCACCTAGACAACAAATGAAAAGCTACATTTAAGGTCACATCTGGTTTGGCCCAATGACAGGCTAGGTTTGCTGGCTTCCAGAATGGAGATTTGCCCTTTTTTAAAATGGATGCTAGTAAAAACAAGGCAACCAGACCTTAGCAAGCAGGGCTAATAATATAGTCAAGGTTCATGTGCTACGTTCTCTTTTTAAAACAGTATCCTTAAAAACAACAGCAGCAGCAACTTGCCATTTGGCTAGCTGGAAATAGATTTTGATGGGACAGGATTGAGAAGAACAATGCAGTAAACAAACTCACTGAGATGTTCTAGCCAGCAAAGAGTGGTTAAGCATGATTCACGCTGACAGAGATTCAGCCTCGGAAATGGATTCCCCATTATTTGCCCCTTTGCTTAAATTTTTTATTTCTGTTGCAGCTTCATTCTGACCAGGATAAAGGAGACTCTACACTTAAATACATCCTTTCAGGAGATGGAGCCGGAGACCTCTTCATTATCAATGAGAAGACTGGAGATATACAGGCCACAAGGAGATTGGACAGGGAAGAGAAGCCTGTCTACATTCTCCGTGCTCAAGCTATCAACAAAAATACTGGAAAGCCAGTGGAGCCAGAGTCAGAGTTCATCATTAAGATCCATGACATCAACGACAACGAGCCACTGTTTACAAAGGACACTTACAATGCCAGCGTCCCAGAAATGTCTGATGTAGGTAGGTGTCATATCAGTCTATTATTATAACTATTGCTATTAGTATTAACATTATCATTTGTTCAGCACTTTTATACCAGGAAAGTCTCAGGGCAGCATATAGGAAAAAGGAAAAGAAATTGCACGCAGTTAAAACAATTAAAAAACCAAGAAACAGCAAGCAAGAACGTAATCATATACGCTTCTCGAAACCCCACTACACCCTAACGACATTGGCCTGATCACTGTTACATTAACCAACAAAAGTACAGTAACCAGAGAAAATTAAGACTCAAATGCCTGAGAGAAGAGGAAAGTTCTTGTCTGGGATTTTTGTTTGTTTCCTTTTGAGCATAAAGGAGGGAGGGAGAACCACTAAAAATATCCTTTCTCTTGTTGAGTGCCCCCCCCCCCCCGGGGACTTCCAGCACCAGAGCACTTGGAGGAGGACCTGCAATGATGACTTCAGGGTCTGTGTAGGCTTACAAGGGAGGAGATAATTCCATGTGGCACTGGGCTCCTGAGGTGTGTAAGCCTTTACAGTGGACCCAAAGGTAATGTAACTTTCGGGTTGCAAACATGGCAAACCTGGAAGTGCATACTTCCGGGTTTCACCACATGAACAGAAGTGCTCTGTGCGCCATGTACATGCGCAGAAGCACTTTATCGCGCTGTGCATGTGCGCAGAATCGGCGTCTCATGTTGACCTTTCAGGGTACGTACAGACCCCCAGAATGAATTAAGTTCATATCCGGAAGGTCTACTGTATATATAAAACCAACACTTTGAATTGTGCCCAACAATGCAGAGATCAGTTTTCACCTACTGCTCAAGGGACAAATCCAGACTTGTGAATTCTGCACTAAAGTATGGTCAGGTATAGTCTATTTCTAGTCCATGCCTGTTAAGCATATGTTCATTCAGAGGTCCATTTCTGCATTAGGCTATGGGTTCTATTTTCAATCCACCAAAGCACTGCATTTCAATATGTATCTTGCTATAATGTTATCTCCGTGTACACATTTCTAAGTGTATTTTATCCTAAAATGTGCCTATTAATGCCTTTTGGTATCGGTATTGCAAAACTTGGAGGTGTGTGATATCCAAAGGATGATTATGTTCTAATCAGCACATTTATCTGTGAGGTGTGGATCAACTAATATCACATTCACAGAAATCCAAACCCCAAAGCATCCCTACCTAGGCTCAATCCATATGACTGCTTCCTCCTTTGTCAAAATGGGCACACACCTATTTATTCTATATTCCTGATAGACCATGTGAATTACGCCATCACTGGTATGGAAAGTGTGAGAAAGGAGAGATAATGGGTAAAAACAAGTGATAATTTGCCAAGTGATAACTAGTGCAACCATGTGAGAAACTGGTTGGTTGTTATATCTCTCCTAAGTGGTGCAGGGGTGGCCAATCCATAGCCCATGGGCAGCCTTGCCAAAGGTTTTTTTGTGCTCCCCAAGACTCCTTCCCAAATTTGCCTTAAAAAAAAAAGCATTTTACTGCTCTTGTTGGAAGTGTGCTGTGATGCATAAGGTTTTTGTGATCCCTCTAAAAAAATCATCCTTTAAAAAATGCTTTAATGAAATTTAATAGTGAATGGTAACTGTTGTAGAACAGCTGGAGGACTATTCTTTGGGTAGGCAGCTCTCATCACGCCCACTTTTGTGCTTTGGAGATGTCCACTGTGACAGTGTTAGCCATCCCTGATATGTAGTGAAAAGGATTGTTCCCTGGATGTGTACGCAATCAAAACAATTGGGGAATGAGAAGTCTATTGCAAATTGCTACCTCCCCTCTTGCATGCATGCCACAGTAAATTGCCAGGTTCAAGTATTCACCCCATTTACAGATATACACTTCTGGCCTAGGTTGGCAGGAGCAGGGACCGAGCAATGGGAGCTCACTCCGTGGCTGGGATTCGAACCTCCGACCTTCTGATCGGCAAGTCCTAGGCTCTGTGGTTTAACTCACAGTGGCACCCGTGTCCCTAGCCACCCATGCCAACCTAGCAGTTCGAAAGCACATTAAAATTAAAGAAGATAAATAGGTACCGCTCCGGCGGGAAGGTAAACGGCATTTCCGTGCGCTGCTCTGGTTCGCCAGAAGCGGCTTAGTCATGCTGGCCACATGACTCGGAAGCTGTACACCGGCTCCCTTGGCCAATAAAGCGAGATGAGCACCGCAACCCCAGAGTCGGTCACGACTGGACCTAATGGTCAGGGATCCCTTTACCCCTTTACCTTTACCTTTACTTCTGGCCTGAAACATGGATGTGAGAACCGTCCCTCCCTTCCCTAGCTGGCACCCCGGGGTCAAATTGAATTAGCTGTTTGCCCCATATTGTCCTTGCATAATTGGACATTCCTTTACAAATAGACGGTGTCAACACTCATTGCCAAACCAGGACAGTGATGTGGGAGGAAATGATGCAAGTATTTGCCCTCACCATGATCCCTAGCAGAACCTCCCACCACATCAGACACACTCACCTGCTATTTGCAGCGGGAGGACTTTTTGATCAGGACCATGCTGGAGGCAGTAGCAGCCACAACTACAGTGAGCTCCTAGCTGCATTGCCTCTCCCCATCTCCTTCCTGGCAACCAGCAGTGACACGCAGCGTTGGGAATCCAGCTGGGCAATGCCATCCAACAGCACATCTCTCAAGAACACCTGTATCTCTGGTTACTGTACAAGGTAGGCAAAAAAGGTAGCCGCAACAAATGATATTGAATTCAAGAGCAGTCCTTCAAAACTCACTGTGAATCTCAAAACACCCACACATCCACCATCGTGAGTCCCATTTCCACCTCTGGAGAAAACTCCTGAAATGGCACCTCTGTTGGAATCTGCAGGTACAGAAGCAAAAGCTGTATAGAAGCAAAAGTGCCAATTTAAAGTGATGTCCTTTGGCAGAACAGCAAATATTTTTCTAATTTTTTTTATCATTGCAGGTACATTTGTCGTGCAAGTCACAGCAACTGATGCCGACGACCCTACGTATGGGAACAGCGCTAGAGTTGTCTACAGCATTCTCCAGGGGCAGCCATATTTTTCTGTCGAGTCTGAGTCAGGTCAGGAGACCTTAATCTGTCATTCTCTGACAACCTCCATAATTTAAAACGACGCGTTAAGTCAAGCTAGGACCTATTTGGTAAATTCTTCAAGGAAATTCTATTTGACTCAGTGCAGACTTCGAGTGGCTCGGTAGAGTGATAGATCTGTAAATATGACACATTATTTTAATATCTTAACCTAACAAAAACAGAATGGAGCCTGGATGGAAAATCCTTTTCCCCCCCAGTCCATTTAAAACAAACAAATACTGGGAATGTTTAGGATGCCTGCATCAAAAGCAGGGCTCAACTCAGTCGTTTGGCTTTCATGAATAAAAATGGAGAGGGGACAATCTTTTTGTCTCTCAAGGGCAACCATCCATCAGGGGTAATGTGCTAGGGGCTGCAGGAAAGCAATTGGCAGAGCCATAGATGAAAGTGTTCTGGATTAACTAATCCAGAATAAAGATCACCCTGCTTCAATTTTCATCATGGATACTACCATGGCGGGGGGAGGGGGAGAGAGATTAAGGCAGCTTCAGGAAGCACAGCAAGATACATACAATGAGCTCAGTGGCCAGAGGTTGTCCATCTGTCAGCAGAAAGGAAAATAAGACTATGAAGGAGATGAATACTGCTTAATCACAGGTCCTTCAAAAAAAGATTGGAGGTATCGTTTTTATAACTCTGTGGCTCATACAGGAAACTGACGTGAAAGCCAGCTCAGCTTTGAAGTGGAAGGAGAAAGTGTGGTAGACAGAGAGATGCTGCTGACTTGTGAATAATAATAATAATAATAATAATAATAATAATATCTGAAATCTGGACAGGGAATTTTCTCTCTCTTATTTTATGCAAGCTTTCATTTTTGTAAATTTTACAACTACAAAGTTAGCAGTAAACTTACTTGTCTGCAATTTGGGGGGACAGTTCAGTTTCAGTTTGACAGAGTGAGGGTTACACCTTTGTGTAACCAGTGTGGTGTAGTGGTTAAGAGCGGTAGTCTCGTAATCTGGGGAACCAGGTTCACGTCCCCGCTCCTCCACATGCAGCTGCTGGGTGACCTTGGGCCAGTCACACTTCTTTGAAGTCTCTCAGCCCCACTCACCTCACAGAGTGTTTGTTGTGGGGGAGGAAGGGAAAGGAGAATGTTAGCCGCTTTGAGACTCCTGAAGGGGAGTGAAAGGCGGGATATCAAATCCAAACTCTTCTTCTTCTTCTTCTTTGTCAAAGCCCACCTGAGCAGCTTCCAAAGCACCCAACAACCAGCTGTTTTGGGGGATATTTTAAAGTGCTACTCAAAGTCAATTTGCCCTGGCTGATGTGAAGGCACATCAATCCTGCTTGGTCCAGGTGTTTTGTTTCAACATCTGAAAGGAAGTGGAGGGGGAGCTTGCTTCTATCGGCACCTTGCCCCTGATACATGCTTTGAAACCTCAATGTTGGGACTTCAAAGCACCCATCTGTTCATGCACATATTTTAATGTATGGTTCTATCTGCATAGCCCCATTGTTTCTTGGCCACACTAGAGTGTAACATATTTTTTAAGGAGCCCGATTTTTATAAACAGATGGGCAGTTTGCAAAGGCACCCTACATTTTAAAAAGCCAAATAGAATGACACTGATATTTTACCCCTCTGTTCAACTTCTTTTTTTCCCCTCCTCCCAATACTGTTTCTACCTCTAAATATATAGAAAGAATGCTTGGGGACTTGCTATTTTCCCCATGGATTTCCTTTCAATTTAATGTTGTAGTACTATGTCTTTAATGAAGGCTTGCTTTCACCCCGTTTGTCAAAATAAAAATTTCAAATAAGAAATGGGTGGAAGAAAACACACGCACATAAAGATGCAGGACAAAAAGCAATGGAGGAAAAAAAGTTATGCTCCCTTTTAGCTTCATGAAATGCTTTAGCATGGGGTTAATAGGTTGATGAAAGAACTGCATCAAACAGCAGTATATGCAAATAGCTTGAAGCTCTTTTCCATATTGTGCAAGTCACACAAGCAACAGAACCAGATACAATTTGACAAGGCTATAATTGAGTGCAGCAACTTGACAACACTTAAATATTTACATCGGGGTAAGTGCAACCGTTACTAGCGACTGTTGCCAAGAGGACAGAGTGGAGGTTTAGATTTATTACTTATTTTTTTGCAATTGTTCTAGGCAGCTTTTCTGTTCAATGCACACATAGACACAAAACTACAAATAAAACATAACTCGCCTTTAAAATGTGGTGCACTACCCAAACGATTTAAAATAACACTAAGGATCACTTGCCATTCTTGACAGCAGCAGCAGTTGCGACCTGGTCCAGCCGTGGGCAAGCTGGGGAGCGCGGGGTGGGGGTGGACACAAAAACCTCCCACTCAGCTGGCCAGTATCATAAGCTCCAGCCAGCAGCAGGGAGTGACAGGACTCCCCTACCTCTTTTGAACTTACATTGGCCAATCAGAGACCAGACTGCAAGTAGGAATTTGGAGACGGACCTGGCTAAGCCTGTTTCCACTCGGGTCCCTCCCCAAATCATCAAAGCTGGTTGCACCATCTTCCAGCAGCGCAGTCAGCATCGGACATGTGTGCAGCACTCTGGCACTCTAACTTAAGCTTTTACAGGAAAAGTCAGTGACCTTCAATGGTGTCCTTAATTTTCTCATTCCCAGGCATCATCAAAACAGCTTTGCTGAACATGGATCGAGAAAACCGAGAGCAGTACCAAGTGGTCATCCAGGCAAAAGACATGGGAGGCCAGATGGGCGGATTGTCAGGAACCACCACGGTGAACATCACATTGACGGATGTCAATGACAACCCACCTCGTTTCCCCCAGAGTATGGAAGATTTAATCATTCTGCTTTATCTAGCTCAGTTCTGCAGTCCAGTGATGGGGATGCAAAGATACACAGCAAGCCTGGAATCTTTAAAATTAGAAGAGATGGGTGTTATTGAGGGGAGGGGGTTATACCTTTTGGTCGCAAATCTGTGAAAGCTTTTGGAAAGCACCCAGCCTCACTACTCTTGACTATTGACAATTATTTCTCGGATTCATCTTCAGCTCTGTCTATGGTATTGTAATGTCCTATTTCAAAGAGTCAAAAGAAAGTACAGTGGTACCTTGGTTCTCGAACTTAATCCATTCCGGGAGTCCATTCGACTCCTGAAACAGTTCGAAAACCAACGTGCGGCTTCCAATTGGCTGCAGGAGCTTCCTGTACTCAAGCGGAAGCCGTGTTGGACTCTTGGCTTCTGAAAAATGTTAGCAAACCAGAGCACTTGCTTCTGGGTTTGCGGTGTTCGGGAGCCGATTTGATTGGGAGCCAAGCCGTTCGAGTACCAAGGTACCACTGTACACTGAAATCAATTTAATTAGGGGAATTTAGCCCAGTTCTTACATTGAGTACATTATAGTACATAGCTACTGGTTGTTTTTGGCTACATTCTTTCATTGGTTAAGCAGCCTTTGTGATATTTAGTATGATTCAGTGCTTGTCAGTTTGTCTAATCCTGGGCTCAAAGGCTACTGTTTTGCCAAGTAGCATGGAAACCACCAATCATTTCAGAAAACGTCCCTGCCTGGGCAAACCCTGCACATTAGAAATAAGGCTAGGCTACTGACATATGGGATGTGGGTGGTGCTGTGGGTTAAACCACTTGCCGATTGAAAGTTCACGGTTCGAATCCCCGCGACGGGGTGAGCTCCCATTGTTCGGTCCCAGCTCCTTCCAACCTAGCAGTTCGAAAGCACTCAGTGCAAGTAGATAAATAGGTACCACTCCAAAGGTAAACAGTGTTTCCGTGTGCTGCTCTGGTTTGCCAGAAGTGGCTTAGTCATGCTGGCCACATGACCCAGAAGCTGTCTGCGGATAAACGCCGGCTCCCTCGGCCAGTAAAGCGAGATGAGCGCCGCAACCCCAGAGTCATTTGCGACTGGACTTAATTGTCAGTGGTCCCTTTACCTTTACTGACATACTAGCTTTCAACTAGCCACAAGATTTTGATGCGTTCTGAAACGGCATTAGCAAAGAGAACTGCACCAAATACTTTTCTCTCCAAGGAAAATAATTCTAGATAAAAAAGTATGCCAGGTTTATATATTTGAAGATGTTGAGGGAGGCATTCCCCCAACTGAAGAATAACTCATAATATAGGGCAAACGTCAGCCTGCGGGTATGGACAGTAGGAAACTTCTGTTGACACGAGTAGGCCATAATTTGAGACTCGGCTCCATGGCCTAAAGAGAATTACACATCTCTGGCCAAGGGCATCTCACATGCTCTGAGACAATGATGCAGAAACACAATGACCAAAAGGTCCCCGAGACAATATATTTGGGTCATTTGCAGTGCAGCAAGTTAACATGAAGGGCTTTGGCTGTGCGTCGTCTTGTGTCGCTACATCACATTGCACAATGGTCGTTTGCTGTTTCCTTATTCACTGTATTTGACGTATGGATGCTTTTGGTTTGCCATAATCCATCTGGCGAAAACAGCCCTGCGTGCATTGTGAAGGGAGGACTTGTTGAAATCAGTCCAAGGGGCAGGGAAAGAGAAAAATGCCTTGTAGGGGGTTGCGGTAGAATAAAGCAGACCTGATTTAAACAAGATACTGGGCTTCTTTAAAGCACTTATCCCTGCCAGGTTCCACACAGTTCTCAGCCTGTCAGGCAAGTGAATGGTTTGGCAGGTAGGCCCGCAGGGTTCGATATTCCACAGATAGAGCAACCTGTTGTTACTGTGGAGCCAAGATCAGAGTCAGTCACTTCATGGGGCTTGATAAGATACTATTGGCTCCCTGCATCACCTTCTCTGTGCTGAGTTGATAGCTGCAGTTGTTGTTTGACATCCATCTGTCTCGAGAGACAATGGAGTGCATCTCCAGGGGTCAAGTCAAACTGCTGCATTAGCAGCACCAAAGTAACCTACCTGGGATGCAAACCAGGGCAGTGTGTATGGAGGTCCCAGACAGCAAGACCCGCTCTCAGCCTTATGGATATGATTGCAGTTCTGTACTCTAATCATGTGTGGGACTGTCATGCAAGCTAGCCATTCCCTTCACCTGCAGGCTGCCGTACAGGTGCACGGAAATGGATTCCTCTTCCCTACCATCATTTCCCCCTGTTTGACGAAGCGTCACGACACCAGCGCCTTTAAATCAGCACAAGGAAAGAGGAACCTTGAGCCATAAGGTGTTTACATGGCAAAAGCCAGAGGGAAACCGTTCCGGTGTGCAGACTTTGCAGCTGAAGGGGGGAATAGGTTAAGTCTGATGCCAGAACAAATGGAATGGTTAAGCACTTGCCTTTTGTATCACTTAGAATCTCCTTTGAATCAGGAATACAACAGGATGGCTCTATGAGAAAGTAGAAAGTCCTGCAAGCAACTTGGAGTGGCAGCAACCTAGAAGTCAATTTACTGGTGTGGATGCTGGTAGAGAATAGATGTAGGAAGAAAACCTCCATGTGACTGGAGATTTTGGGGGAAATGCCCCAATAGCTGTGATCGTCTGGCTAAAGTTTCCCTTTATCTCTAGGTGCCTACCAGTTCAAAATCCATGAGTCTGCACCTCTCGATTCGCCGGTTGGCAGGATAAAGGCTACTGACGCTGATGTGGGTCAAAATGCAGAGATGGAATACAGCATCATCGAAGGGGATGGCTTAGAAATGTTTGGCGTCGTCACAGACAAGGCGACGCAGGAAGGCATCGTAACAGTGAAAAAGGTGCATGTTCTCAGATGTTTCCTTCTGGCTTTCAGCATGCTTTTGTCACGTGCGTTTTGTCTCCCACACATAGTTGTTAACACCCTTGTCAGTGCTCTGCAAAGGGTGGGGAAATAGCTTCAGAGGAAATATCTCACACTTTTGCATGACTGTCCAGATCGGATCAAGTGGCCCTGGGCAGCCCAGGCACACAGGCTGCCCTCCCCCCCCCCCTCGACACCTCCCTTCTCAACTCTGACTCATCACAAGCTATAGATCCTGCAGACTTCTTTCAGCCTGTGTCTAGAAGCTTCTTAAGCTTAAGTTTGGGTTTGATATCCCGCTTTATCACTACCCAAAGGAGTCTCAAAGCGGCTAACATTCTCCTTTCCCTTTCTCCCCCACAACAAACACTCTGTGAGGTGAGCGGGGCTGAGAGACTTTCAAAGAAATGTGACTGGCCCAAGGTCACCCAGCAGCTGCATGTGGAGGAGCGGGGAATCAAACCCGGTTCACCAGATTACGAGTCCACCGCTCTTAACCACTATACCATACTGGCTCTTCTTCCTCATGCTGCAGCCCAGTGTTTATCACCACTATGAGATAATGCAAAATATAACTCTATTTAGATGCTAAACATGGTTGGGTGGGCTAGCAAAATGCTGTTCACTTATATGAGAAGAAATAAAGGGGTGCATCCTTTGAGTGTGAGCAGAACCTGCTTCTTGCCCTGTATAGCACCAGCTAATAAGGACCACGTTTGCTCCTGTCTGAGTCAACCCATCCTATGTCTTGTTTCTTGGTCACACTAGAGCATGAGGGATATTGTGACTGGGCATTTGATTAATTATGTGTTGGTTGCAGGCTTTTAAAAAATGGTGCCAATCGTGGTCACTAGATTGATGCTAGTTGTATTTGCTGGGTTGATTTATGTTCTGGACCTGGGATAAAAATGTGAACAGTGGCCATTTCTGTTACCGACAGAATTCTTTGACATCCGTAGGTGCAGCAGATCTGTTCTGTTAAATGGCAATCTGGCCTCTTTTACAGACCAGTTCTTTTCTACATGTTACAAGGAGGGGATACATTTTAGAGACGCTGACTAGAAATCTGCTCCGCTAGCCCCCACAAATTCTCAAAAACTGTACCGTGTTGCATATGAAACATTTTGAAATTAAACACTCTGAAAAGCTGGGTAAAGTTAATATCACATCTACTGCAAAAGCATATTAGAGCTCTGTGTTCCTATGTATTTCCCCTCTACAATGCAATTAATAATTCTATTCGGGTACATTCTGACTTTCTCTTTTGTTGTGTCTCTTTTTTTAAAGAGCAGAGCCTTATAAGATCCTGAGTGGGAACTACTAATATGACACCTTCGTTGTCAGAAAGCATTTCACTAATCTCATTTACAAGCAACTTATCTGGCAAGCTTGATAAGGTTACAGATATCAGCCCGCATCAATTCAAACTTAGCCAACACGAAAAAGACATTGTGTAGAGTCTCAAACACGGACTTTTGCCTGTAGATCTCTGCACAACACCCGTCATTACTTATTCATACAGAAATGCCTCATAGGACTTGATCCTGATATCACTCAATTTTCTGTTTGTGTCTGGTTCTGAAAAATAATGCTTTGGCCAGGTTTCATACAGTACAGGGGATAAAAAATGAAGAGGCATGGTTTGTCTCCTTTCCACCTAAATTGCTTGTGATGTTTCTTCTGTACCCTCGGGATTTCACGATGCAGTCAAATCTAATTGCAACTACATCACGCACAATTCCCCCCACTTCCTCGAGCAATAGGAAATTCTAGGGGCAGCCTCTGTGGGGGCTGATTACATGTGAGGAGAGAGCACTGGAAGCTTGTGGCATTTTTGCAATATCTGTTTATGCATTGAACATAGTGGGGGGAAGAAAAGCCCCATAGTCAGAAAGAGCCTGCCTATAAAGCAACATCAGTTCCCCCAAAAGCAAACAGCTTCTATTTGAAACTAGGGGTGGGAGAGAAATTCAACTCAGTTTGCATTTAAAGGCGAACTTACCAAATCTGCAGTTCCCAAAACAATATGGAAACCAAACACGGTCATCCATCAAAAGTTGTGCTTTGCTGTGTGCTTTTGCAATGCCAGGGAGCGTGTACAGATAATAATAATAATAATAATAAATTTTATTTATATCCCATCCTCCCCAGCCAAAGCCGGGCTCAGGGTGGCTAACAACAATAAAACAATACAAAACTACAGCATAAACAACACTCTAAAATCGTTCATTATAAAATTAATTAATTCAAGCCACTGGCAACCATTGGGCCAGAGCTCCGCGAAGATTGCCGAGGGAGGGAGTCAGGCTGTGCCCTGGCCAAAGGCCTGGTGGAACAGCTCTGTCTTGCAGGCCCTGCGGAAAGATGTCAAGTCCCGCAGGGCCCTGGTCTCTTGTGACAGAGTGTTCCACCAGATCGGAGCCACAGCCAAAAAAGCCCTGGCTCTAGTTGAGGCCAGCCTAACTTCTCTGTGGCCTGGGACCTTCAAGAGGTTTTTATTTGAAGACCGTAAGTAGTACCTTGGGTTAAGAACTTAATTCGTTCTGGAGGTCTGTTCTTAACCTGAAGCACCACTTTAGCTAATGAGGCCTCCCACTGCTGCCGCGCCACCAGAGCACGATTTCTGTTCTCATCCTGAAGCAAAGTTCTTAACCCGAGGTATTATTTCTGGGTTAGTGGAGCATCTGTAACCTGAAGCGTATGTAACTCGAGATACCACTGTACATATATAAAAGTGTGCCTAAAAATGCGCACATTTGTGAAACTAACATACGAAAATATAGCGCATTAGGGAAATTTGCTTTGAAAAACGGTGCCTCTTAAGCAAACATGCATACTGTGAGAAACTCACACAAAAGTGCTGATGAATTTTCATGACAACTTTTTTATTTTAGAAATCCCAAAGTGATGTTGAAATGTGGGGAACGGAAATTAAGATTGGAAAAATGAGAAATGGGGATAATTGGAAATTGATGGATACCTCCACTCCTATCTGGAGTGTTTCCTTCTTTCCCCCCAAGACTCCTTCATCCTCTCAGCTACAAAACTCATATTCTTTCCTCTTTAACTGGCTGCACTGCAACTAATAGCCACTTCTCCAGCTCACAACAGAGCATCAGGACTGTCTGTGCTGTTAGGCAGAGTGAGGAAGCCATCTAAAAAACCCCAACAACCCTGATTTGGGGGTGTAATGAAAGGGCAGCGAATTGTCAGTTGTTTCATTTATTACTATTGTATTTTTTACTGCCAGGGCGTGAGAGAAGTACCTGAGGGGTTGTTGCCTCAGGTGCTAAAATAACTTAGCCAGGTTTTGCACACTATATACCGTATTTTTTGCACCATAACACTCACTTTTTTCCTCCTAGAAAGTAAGGGGAAATGTCTGTGCGTGTTATGGAACGAATGCCTGCGGGTGGCGGGGGGGGGGGGATCTGCTGCAGTCGTGAGCAGAGGATCCATGGTTCCCCTTCCTTCCCTCCTCCGTGGTTACAAAGCATGGATCCTCAGGATTTTTGCATTGGGCTACTCCAAACTCACTGTCAGATCACATGTCTGTGGCCACAGCATGAACCACAAAAATCATATATCCACTATTTCGTTTAGAATATTTTTTTTCTTGTTTTCCTCTTCTAAAAACTACATGCGTGTTATGGTCTGGTGCGTGTTATAGAGCGAAAAATACGGTACATTGAATGGTGCGGCAGAGATGGGGAAGCAGGGACAGCAATTGCTGTTCTTCCTGAGGCAGCAAAATATCTTGGGGTAGCCCTGCCAACCACATGGGCTGTGTCCGAGCTCGGTAGACACCGTCAAAGCTCACGAAGAAAAGTCTGGCAGACGTCAAGTGCTATTGAGCAAGCATCTACAGCTAGTTCCAGAAACATCGACTGACCCGTCGGCACTCATTAACAAGCAATGAAGTAAAACAAATGGCGGTTTTCTCTCCCCTTGACACAACACAACAGCATCCTCGCTACGCTCTTTTACCGAACGCCACGCTACATTGGTTTTGACTTCACATAACATAGTTGCATTTCCAGTGAGGAACGGCTTTCAAAACACAACTTCCCCCCAAATTGTGTCTCCTTTTCAGGTAGGGGCTTTGAGGGAAACGAATGTCAGTTCAGAGTGGGTGGTTTATTTTCTCATTTGCAAGGAAGTGTGGGGAGGCAACATCGTTGGGCAAACACATTTGGGAAGTGTCAGAGTAGGAAAGGCAGGAATGTTCCAACAGAAATGAGGTCATTAATGACTTCTAAAAAGTGCAGGATCGGAGGACAAACCTCTCGTCTCACAGCAGCACATTATCTCTGGACATTAGAAAGATTTCCGAAGTTGCCATTGTATATTTTCTTCTTCCCAAGGCATAAATGGGGCAATTGTTTGAAGTGGGAGTGCTTGAATACGGAAACACCTCTGCCCAACTTGGAGCAGTCCCAATTCAAGGAAACACACCTTCCTTCTGGAGCAGGCCCTTCTTCAAGCTGGGGCTCAAATGTACACCCTTCATTCCTTGGTCTTCTCCAAGAAGCAACAAGAAGTGTTGTCCTTTGAAGAAGAGAAAGAAGGTAGTAGATGGAGGAGGACTCTCTGCTAAAGGTTGATGAGCAACTTCATTGCCCCTTCTGTTCTCCCGCCTTGTGGTTCTTTATATTTACACCAGACACCCTCTCTCCTCTTTAAAATAGGGCACATAACCACCCTACCTCTGAGGCCGAAATCCTGGATACACTTACTCAGGCGTATGTACCGTTGAAAACAGTAGGGCTCCCTTCTGAGCAAACATGCATTGAATTGCAGTGCAAATGTTTGTTTTGAAGTGCATAACGCGCTCATTCCACGCATTTCAGTCTGCCTCTTTGAATGTCAGGTCTCCCAGGAAAGCTGTTATCAGCTTTCTATTTAACATGTGCATTTTCTGCTCCTAGGCTTTGGATTTTGAAAAGAAGAGACAGTTCACTGTGAAAGTGGAGGCAAGCAATCCTCACGTGGACCCCAGATTCCTCTATCTGGGACCCTTCAAAGACATTACGACTGTCAGAATTGTGGTGGAGGATGTAGACGAACCTCCAGTATTCAGCAGACCAGCCTACATATTTGAAGTGAAGGAAAATGTCCAGATAAACACTGTCATAGGAACCGTGACTGCCCGAGACCCTGACGTTGCAAAGAATCCTATCAAGTAAGCATAGACTTTTTGTTTTATCTCTGAACTTAGCATGTTTGGGGGGGGGGGGGTTTAATGCCAATATCTTACTACTGTTGAGAATGACATAGTTGGTATAGCTAGGTGTTATTTCAGTTGTTGTTTTTTAAAGTAACTTTTATTTGGTTTTACAAAATCAATCACACAATTAACATACTTGAAAACATTAAAAATAAAACAAGATTCTTTCGAATCTTAGGATTTCCCTCCTCCCCTCCGTAGATTCTTTAAAAAGCTTTGTCAACTGCATATAATAGTCCATCCAAATTACAGTCCTCTATTGTTTCCAAAGTCTTTGTAACATTGCAAGAGTTATTTAGAGCCTGCCAAAGAGTTCAAGTGTTTACAGTGTTCTTTTAAATGCAATCTGTATTCATCCCAATCTCTATTGAAGTTCTGATCTTCCTGATTTTCCCTGTCAATCTCGCCATCTCTGCGTAATCTAGCAGCTTCATCTGCCAGTCCGCCTTCATGGGCATCTTGCCATCTTTCCATTTCTGGGCAAGCAGCATCCTTGCAGCCGTAGCAGCATACATGAACAGTCTTTTCAATTCCTTCGGTGTATCTGTGCCTACAATTCCTAAGAGAAAGGCTTCTGGTCTAGCTAGGTGTTATTTCTGGGTCTGCCCTGTGAGACTTCTTCCGATTCTTTCATCACAGAATACATAAGAACCGCTTGTCTTATCTCTGGGGAAGTGCTGTTTGCAGCTTAGCTCGGCCACAGCAGGCAGGGCTCGCTCCTGCGATGTAGGCAGGCAGGGGGATGTTCCTTCCACCTTTGCCAGCTGCACCTGCTTCAGGAGACTCTTTTGCAGGTGTCACAGCCAATTGCAGAGGAGTGTGTGGGCATGGCTCAGGGAGCAGACCAGAGGAGATTGCTTTGCCTCACAGTCTTCCCTCTGATCTGCTCCCTGGAAATATAAGCGTGCCACTCCCGTGCCTCAGCCACAGTTCCCTTCCGGATTTCAGAAGAGAAGGGCACCAGGCGCAGTAGAGGAGGAGGAGAATTTATTTTTTACATGGACAGTGGTGGCGGCTTGCTGGACCTCTGAAGCAGCCGAAGAAAGTGAAAGAAAGATGAGAGAGAGAGAGAGAGAGAGAGAGGGAGAGAGAGAGAGAGAGAGAAGGCACCAAGAGCTTCACTAAGTAGGGAGCAGCTGCGGCATGGCTAGATGTGGTGTGGCTTGCTATGGAAGTGCTTTGGTCGCCATTGGAGGGGCAGGGAGGAATGTTCCCTTCAGGACAATTGGCCAATCTGGAGATACTGCCTGCCTCAAAGCAACTGTCACAATTTGATGGTGGACAAGGTGTTGAGAATGGATCCTTAGACTAAGCGAGCACCACAAAAGCAGGGCAATCCCATTAAAGGGAGCATGGGGGAAGAGCTTCTTTTCCAGACACCCAGCTCAGGGGTTGATGGGCCATAGAACCCCCCAAAATGGTGGTCACAGGGGTTGATGCACATCAAAGGGCAACCTGTAACCTCGGGCGACCGTGCCAATCGACAAACAGCAGGCGGACAGTTTGCTTTCAGGATATAAATATCATGGCAACCATTAAGGAGATGTTTCCATTATTTTTGTTAGAACTTAAATACAGAAGCAGCTTTTTGGAGTGTTCATTGGCAACTATTAGTGAGATGTTATTTGTTTAAAAATCGAACGAAGGAAGGCAAGAAGCGAGTGAGGAGTGGCAGCCAGGGAGAGCTTGGCAATGCTTATGTTCTGTTGAAGTAAATGGAGTTGAAGCAGAAGGTTAAGTGTTGGACAAAATGCTGTTGAACACAATGGCACACTTCCAGAGGTACAATTTCCTGTACTCTCGGTCTGGTGCAGAAAGACAGGAAGCCATCAAAGCAGGTACAATACAGGGAGCCAACAAAGTAGATACCTTCAGAATATATATCACTATCATTATTATCATTCTATCTATTACCAACCTTTTACTGGAAGGTCTCAGGGGCCCCCTATCTGCTTTGTGGGGAAAAACACTTGAGGGTATATCCTGCCACATGTGTTGGGCCACTGAGAAGGGAGCGGGTGGCGCTGTGGTCTAAACCACTGAGCCTCTTACACTTGCCAATCAGAAGGTCGGCGGTTCGAATCTGCACGACAGGGCGAGCTCCCATTGTTCTATCCCAGCTTCTGCCAACCAAGCATTTCGAAAGCACATCAGTACAAGTAGATAAATAGGTACCACTGCAGCAGGAAGGTAAACGGCATTTCTGTGTGCTCTGGCTTCCATCATGGTGTCCCATTGCATGAGAAGCAGTTTAAACATGCTGGCCACATGACCTGGAAAGCTGTCTGTGGACAAATGCTGGCTCCCTCAGCCTGAAAAGTGAGATGAGCTCCAGAATCTATGGTATCCTTTCATTGGACTTAATAGTCCAGGGGTCCTTTACCTTTTTTACACTGAGATGGTCCAATGATTGTCCTGGAGGGCATGAACTCCCAACCAGCCCATTTGAGGCAGCCTCAGCATATTGGAAGTTCCCCAAGACCACCATGAAAGGATTCTCTAAAACCACATCCTATATTACCTCTGCTACCACACTTAGGGATGGTTTGTACCATCCTACAAACACACACAAACAAACAGAAACCCATTATCTCTCTCTGGCCCAACACCACCAATAATCCTTCTAGTGCAAACACAGGATGGATTGTGCCTCTTGTGACAATCTCAACTCCCCTCCCCACCCCAAACGTCAAAATTGCTACGCCAAGTACCAGGCCGCAGATCATCTGCTCAGGTCCCAGTTATGCACACAGGTACTATTTTTTTGGTGTGTGGGGGGCGGAGGGAGATCCCATCACACTGTGAACCAAACTACAGTGGTACATCTGGTTAAAAACTTAATTCGTTCCAGAGGTCCGTTCTTAACCTGAAACTGTTCTTAACCTGAGACACCACTTTAGCTAATGGGGCCTTCCGCTGCCACCGTGCCGCCAGAGCACAATTTCTGTTCTCATCCTGAAGCAAAGTTCTTAACCCGAGGTACTATTTCTGGGTTAGCAGGGTCTGTAACCTGAAGCATCTGTACCCCGAGGTACCACTGTATACAGATCTCACAGCCTACATCAGCAGTGTCGACAGTTGAGAACAGACTGGAAGGCCAGATCAGGCTGATGGCTTTGGCAAACACAAATGTGTGCCTGGCGTATGCCTACTTTCCCCACTCAACCATTCACTTAGGCATGCCCTACACCAGGGCTCCTCAACCCGTTGCCCTGCAGATGTTTGGGGCTAGAACTCCCACAAGCACCATGTTTCCTGAGGCTGATGGGAACTGTAGTCCAAGACATCTTCAGGGCACCAAGCCCTGTCCTGTCTTGGTGTGGCTAGAAACCTCACTCCGTTTTTGTTGTGTCCATACTCCTCTGTTCCTTTGTTGCCTCTGAGCTGTTCTTCCTGCATCCGTGGTATGTACACTCAGGTTGCTTTCTCACCTTGCGAAGGTGCTCTCCAACACCTCTCCCTCCATCTTTCTACTCAGTCATGGGTGGGAGCTGATAGAAGAAAGATACAGGAGGAGAGAGGCAATGGGGAACTTTCAAAATGAGGCCAAGGAGCGTGTGCTTGGTTGGAGATGCGCAGCAACAGAAAGCGTCAAAGGTAGCCTCTCTGGACATGCCTCTGGAACCTAAATGCTGTGCAGGAGTAGAGAGAAAGTGAGCAGAACCGTGCTACCACCCAAACTGCTTGCCTATGTGATCCTGAAGGGCTTTTCTGGTGCCCCCTCTCCTAGCATCTTCCAAGATCCGCAAGCCTAGATTAGGACTGCCTCGTCTTGACAGTGATTTCCCCCACACACACCATCATGAGTGTAAATGCTAACTCTAACTTTCCCTCGCAGCTTGGGGGAGGATGCAATTAGACCGTTATATGTTCTACTTGTCACTTACTTGTCAGGTTCCCCTGACAGTTAGAAATAAAACCTTCAGACACTTGATGTTACATTGAAAACCCTCAATTTTTTCCACTTGACTGTAGCTTTAAAAAGAAAAACCTTAGCACAGAGCACTGTCAGCTTGAAAGCCCTTTGATCTCCCATTAAAGAATGCTTCATAATGTCATTATGAAGATGCTTAGCATGTGTGTGAGAGGAAATTCACACATGCATTCCTCAGTGGCCCACAAATTTTCTTGGCTTGCAGTTGCATTAAATACAGGGACTCTGCATTGAAGAAAGCAATTAGGGGAAGATCTCCGAGGAGCAGATTTTGTAAAAAGTCTGCCTTTGGCACTAGCAGATTGAGTGACACTTACATTTGTCAATAGAGTAACATTTTAGTCACTGATTCCCCTCGCCTGCCTGGATGCTGAGTGACATTCCAGATGAATAAATGCATTCAGATGTACAACTATCACAATATTAGAGCTGACAGTTTTCAGTCTTGAGTCCAACGAGGCTCTAGTCCCATTAAGACCTCATGGAGACTGTGGCCCAAGAGACGCTGGCACGTACCAGCAACCGCAGTCTCCACACCATCCTCCTTCCCTCCAATGTTTGCCATACAGAAAACCTGCCGTCTCCCATGTCAACCAGGCATTGCAAAGGAGCTGAGATTAGTCGCAATCATCCCTGCCTACACCTGAATAAACTTGGATATGCCAACACTTCGACTAAATGCTGCAGCTGTTTCATTTAACAACCACTTGATGTGCATACAGTAGCAAGGGGTTGTGTTTACCTGCGGAAAACTTTGCTTGTTGATCTCTGCACGTCAATAAAGCATCAGAATAGACCATACCATTTTCGTCCGGTTGGTTTGCAACCATCCTTATCTGTCAGGCTACACAGAAAGGGACCATCGCCTTGTCTGCTTCTGTGAGGAATTGAAAAGGGATTTGGCAAAGAGAGTGGATGGGCAGTTCTCCGCTGAGTGGGGCTCTGAGAGAATTCCAGGACAACAAGGACCCCTGTCCGGCAAATTCAAAATACTGCAGCATATATAACAAAACAGTTGATCCAGCTCGGGTAGCCTGTTAACACGTCATCTAATCTAAGGTAGCACTTTTGTCCTTGAGAGCAGTTCAGCCCATGAACTCTGCACATTTAAAGGATGCTACGTTGTCATTCAATCAGTATCACAAGAGGTACCTTCAAGAAAATATTGCAGTGTGGGGTATTCCTGCTCAGTATGCCAATCAGCTATGCCTTCTTTCAGGATATGATATTCCGTTTCCCCGCCTCTCCACCTCATGTTTTCCTTATCCTGGAGGCGGTTGGAGGATGGATGGTGGCTAATGGATTGAAGTTGAATCCTGACAAGACAGAAGTATTGTTTTTGGGGGACAGGGGGCGGGCTGGTGTGGAGGACTCCCTGGTCCTGAATAGGGTAACTGTGCCCCTGAAGGACCAGGTGTGCAGCCTGGGAGTCATTTTGGACTCACAGCTGTCCATGGAGGCGCAGGTCAATTCTGTATCCAGGGCAGCTGTCTACCAACTCCACCTGGTACGCAGGCTGAGACCCTACCTGCCCGCGGACTGTCTCGCCAGAGTGGTGCATGCTCTAGTTATCTCCCGCTTGGACTACTGCAACGCGCTCTACGTGGGGCTACCTTTGAAGGTGACCCGGAAACTACAATTAATCCAGAATGCGGCAGCTAGACTGGTGACTGGGGCGGCCGCCGAGACCACATAACACCGGTCTTGAAAGACCTACATTGGCTCCCAGTACGTTTCCGAGCACAATTCAAAGTGTTGGTGTTGACCTTTAAAGCCCTAAACGGCCTCGGCCCAGTATACCTGAAGGAGCGTCTCCACCCCCATCATTCTGCCCGGACGCTGAGGTCCAGCGCCAAGGGCCTTCTGGCGGTTCCCTCATTGCGAGAAGCAAAGCTACAGGGAACCAGGCAGAGGGCCTTCTCGGTAGTGGCGCCCGCCCTGTGGAACGCCCTCCCATCAGATGTCAAAGCGATAAATAACTACCTGACATTTAGAAGGCATCTTAAGGCAGCCCTGTTCAGGGAAGCTTTTAATCTGTGATATTTTACTGTATTTTTTGTTTCTATGGAAGCCGCCCAGAGTGGCTGGGGAAGCCCAGCCAGATGGGAGGGGTACAAATAAATTATTATTATTATTATTATTATTATTATTATTATTATTATTATCCAATATGCTGCATTCTGTGCCCAGTCATTGGACCATTTGTGGTGGGGTGGGGTGGGGTGGGAGGTCCACATACAACTCCTGGCCTAATGGTTTGTTCTGCTTCTGCAAACCTCAGATTCTCCGAGTATACAGATATCTCCCTCTTGATACCAGGAGCCATGTTCTTGCTACATAGCTGTCATAATTCAGCACTTGAGTTTGCTGTTGCTGTATACAAGCAGGGCCCAACCTCAAAATTTTGCAGTGCATACTGTGTATGAAACAGCATGTGTATGTACCTCGGGACTGGAAAGTAGCTGATGTAACAAAAAAAATTAAACAGCGATCCTGGAAATTGCAGGCTGGTTAGCACCATAATCTCTAAGCAATGTTCCTGGAACGTAACTGATGTGAACATTGCACGACCCCTGCATTTCCTTATGTATAAGTATTAAGGACTTAGTGACGGCATCTTCATATATTTGTTAACATTCTAGCTTATCAATTTCCCCAAGTTTGAAGGGAATAAAGCCCCAAAATCTGACATACACGCACCAGTAATTTCATTAAAGAAATGTAAAAAATGAGTTTGATGTTGTCGACTTAATTTTTAATAGGCTATGATCCGCAAGTCAAAGTCACCACCAATTCAACATAATTAGCAGCCCTTGATCAAAAGAGACCTGGGATTATTTAAATGGAATGAAAGCAATGAGAAGGGTAGCCTATTAAAAGCATTCTTCTAGGTCAGGGTTAACAATGTAATTAGGATATACTTTTAACTACTACAACCTTGTCTTGTATTCTTTCTGAATGAGAAAAATAATTTAGAACTAGCGTTTTGCCAAACCACGGTGTTACCTATTAGTACTGTGTCGCATTAGTGTTCTGCTTGCAGATGATGCTCTGTGCAGAATCGGCCCACCCATGAGACAGTGTGAAGCATCCTCTTCAGGTGGCGGAAGCGCAAGAGGCGGCACCCTGCCTGCCCCACCGCTTCTGCCACTGCCATAATGCCCCCTCTTGACAGCAAAATGGAGGCGGTGGTGTTGCTGCTCCTTTTCCCTGCCCTTGGAGTGAAGAAGACAAGTGTCCGTGCTCTGAGGAGCAAGCTGGCATTCACTGAATTGGCAATAGCCAGGGGGTTCCCGAGTGCAGTGTTGTCACTTGTGCTCCCCCCCCCCCCCCAAGGTAGGGGAATACAAGTGGCAATGGCGGAATTAGGGGGCGGGGCACATTCCTCAGGTGGCAAAGTGGGATGAACCACCCCTGCCTGTGCATGTAGCGATTTCTGGGAAACCATGCATCCTCATAATATTCAGGTGCAGATCTATGTCATGGGAGGAGGGAAACGGTTAGCCATTTGTGATAAAAAATATGCATATTGCACAAATAGTTGAAGATAAATCTTTACTTGTTAGGTTGACAACAGTTGAACAACCGGTATTATTTACATCTACATTAATGAATGTCTCTCCCTTGAGCCCAAGAGAGGTTTTAATTCTTTTTTTCAAAACTCCTTTGTAGCAGTGCATAAGTTACTAATCCTTAGCTTGCCTGTCCCCACAGCATCCTCCAGAAAGCGTCTTCATGAAGCCCCCACCCTCTCACATTCACAGCCAAAGACAAAACCAACACAATAACCAAGCCACTGCCTTCTGCCACCTCCTTTCCCCAATACCATTTATCCTTTGTGAAATACATTCACAATACAATACAAACACTAACAGAAATGCCAGGGCAAACAGGTTGAAACTTGCAGTTCGGTAGGTTCTCTGCAGAGTTGGAATGAGCGACTGAGCTCGAGGCCCTACTGCAGCCCTAGAGGGTTGACAGTCCAGCATTAGCCTCCCCACACCCCATTTCTTCCAGAGCAGGGCTGAGAAACCCATGAGCCTCCAATGCCGTTGGACTCCAACCCCCATCAGCCCTACCAAACACTGCAGTTGGTCAAGGATGATGGGAGTTGTAATCCAACAGCCGCTGTAGTCCTACAGGTAGACCCATCTTGGTAGTGGCATGTTGGCAGGAGAGACAGCTATGAGTCCCTTGTTCTTCTAGAGATGAACCAGCTGTTTGATCACCAGGGGTATACCACACAGCCCTACGGTGATGATCAGCTCTGTGATAGTGGCTGCCACTAGGAAGTTGAACTTAACCATGTAGCATGGTGCAAACTAAGGCTCCATCCATTATTCATCTTTTGCCAAGAAGCTGGAAGAACGGAGGCTTAGCTCCCTCCTGTCTGACTTGAGATGAAAGTACATGCACCACTTCCCACCCATTGGGTGTAAACTGCCCAAAGAACCTCTTTTCTCCTGGGCATCCCTTTCCCCTTGCTAGGGCTTTGCTAGGGCATTCTCTTCTCTCCACTTACAGCCTAACATGATCAATTGTATAGCCGTGCTTCCTAAGGGCAGCTGCAGCTAAAACAAATGGTTAGCATCAGGCTGCAAATTAAGAATCGAACATAAACAGGTTTTCTCCATTGCTTCCGAGAACTGTGTCACATACACTGTGCTAAATCTGTGATGTTCGGATTTCTGGATATTAGGCTTCCGTTTGAAAAACTTACACCGCTAATCCCCAGTTCGCTGAATATGTGAAAGATGCTTGCTTAAAGCTTGTTAAATAACTTGGCAAATCCAAACTGTGGCACTACTGCCAACTTTCAGTATATGTCTGAGATATTAATTGTTGCCCCAGCTTGAGGTCCTGGTTTCTGCAACTCATATAATTCCAGGAGAATTTCTGCTGGCACACAGCCTTTGAAGTCGACAGACACACAAACTCTTCCAGCCCCAGACTTTTAAAAGGTATCAGGGAGATGTTCTTTCCTTTCACTTGAAAAGAAGCAGCAGCAGCAGAAAGTCTCATGATCTTTAATTCACTTTAATCCGTTCATCAGGAAGGCTTGACTGCTGACCTTTCAACAGATGGAATTAGAAACGGTAACCTAACGCCATGTTACGTTGAAAGCAGATGCTAAATTCACAGTGACTACACACAACCCCACTTAAAAACCCTTGCTTTGAAGGAGCTCCACCATGTAGCCAACTTCAGGTCCCATCTTATTCCCCATCCAATCCTCTCTCTCTCTCTGTGATGGCCTGGGATTCGGACTCGGATGCTGAACCTGAGGGATCCCAGCCTGCACAGGATTCCCCGCCTCCAGAACCAGCTGAGCTGGGGCTGGGGCATAAGCCTGAAGGGTCTTCACCAGTGCTGGATCCTCAGGTGAAGGCACCAGCAGAGTCTGCTCTGGCTCCTGAGGTGATGGAGCACCCATTGCCTGCAGGTGCTCCACTCTCAGCCCCGTCAGAGGAAGCTGAGGTTGCCTCTGGGTCCGGTATCCCTCCAGCCTCTCCTGAGCTACAGAGGCTCAGGGCAGAGAGGCGGAGGGAACTAAGTTCCCACAGGAGGAGTGCTCACCTCCAGGCCAGGAGGGGTGAGTCACCTGAGGATCTGGGCCGCCCTATGCCTCAGGGCAGATAAAAGCCGGCCAGACCCAGTCCCAAGTTGCGGGAGCAACATTGTTGGTTGCTAGGTCCTGCCTGAGCTCCTGACCTGCCCTGGCTCCCTGCTTGCTTGCCTGTTCCTGACTTCACCTGACACCCTGCCCTGCACTCAGCTTCAGCTACTACAGACTGCCTCCACGTTGCATCTTTGACTTGCACCGGACTTGGACCTCACCTCTGGGGTAACCCATGGGACCAGCACACTCTCCCTCTCTCCCGCACCAATCCTTGGGAGCAGGGAAACAGTTGGCTGAATTCCAACTCTTCCCCTTGGCAACCTCAGCCAATCTCCCCTGGGCATTACAGCAACCATAGTGTGGTTGAAACAGGTAAAGCGATATGAGAGGGTAACTTGCCTAAGTAGACACTGTCAGGAGCTTGTCCTCCACTTGAGTAGGACCCTGGCAGAGACACATGCCCGACTGGCATGTTCCCTCCCTCCTGGTCGATCGTTCGGGAGCTTCAAAAGCTTTCTTCAGTCCAAACATCACAGCGATCGATGCCAACAGACATCAGCACAGGGAGCCTGCGCCAGGTCACAAAAGCCGCCCACCAACAATACTGGTGAGCGGTCATTCTATAGCCCTTGCCGACTGATCCATTTCATCTGTTGCCCTCCTATATCCTGCAGTTTATTGCCAGCCTAGCCAAAATATTATAAATCCTGCCAAAAAAAAAAACTTTTTAAAAATTGCATTGCTGACATTTCCATTTTAGGTGGGTCAGTGATTTTCAGCAAGTTCTGCTCTTGGGTACATTTGGTATTGAATTATTTAGAAGCAGTGATTGGCCATCCTGTTCAGTTGGGAAGTGCAGGAAAACAGCAGCCTGTTCCTTCCCTTGCATGAGTAAATCTGTGCCCTACAGTTATTTTATTATTATTTTGTTTATTGAATTTATATACCGCCCTATACCCGGAGGTCTCAGGGCGGTTTACGGTTTATAAAGAAGGCTACAGAGCTCACTAAATTTTCACTAATGCACGCAACCATTCTTGAGGCAGAAAAGTGCAATGAAACACCTTTTGGTTCAGTTTTCTGTGATAGGCAGTGCAATCGTAGACATGACTACTCAGGAGTAAGGCCTTGTGATGCCTTGGGTGAAGTTACTTAGGTTGCAAATAATGTTACGCTTACCTGGAAATAAATGTGCAAGAGAGTTGCAGGCTGAATAAGCCAGAGCATCACTATGTTCATGCCACATTAGCTTTCAACATGATCATTAGCAGGAAATTTTCACAAAATTATATTATACTACAGAAACATTGAGCTGGGAGGAAATGATCTTGTGGCAGGTTTTCTACCATATCACGCTTTGAAAATTTTATTTTCTGCACAAGAAGCTTCACAGGTTGCATTTGTATTTTGAAGAATGCAAGTTGTTCACCTGTTGAATCTTGATGTCTGCACCAAGGAGACAAAGGGGGAGATAGCCAAATATTTTTTAAAAAATCCATGCTCAAGTAAAGAACTCCAGAATGCCAATTGTAACACTTAACATGGAAATTATGAATTGGCCTAATGTGTTTGGGTTGTGTCTCAATGGGTGGTGTTGTGAATAAAATAGGATTTTGGCAAATGGTGAGGAATTACAAATGGTGAGGAATTACAAATATTCCATCTGCTGAAGCAGGGTTTGTACCGACCAGGATCCTTAGATAAATCCTGCCCAAATCACAGAAGGTATCAAGATGTTGCAGTTCACAATATCAGTACAACAACATTGGTTTGGTGGGGTTTGTTGTTGTTGTTTGCAATATAGCTGTAGAGTGCACCATAAAATTATTTAAAAGCATTTTTGGAGCGATCTCTAAATGACTTTGTTTCTATTTTCAGGTATTCTGTAGATCGGCATACTGACATGGACAGAATATTCAACATTGATTCTGGAAACGGTTCAATATTTACTTCCAAACTTCTTGACCGGGAAACATTATTGTGGCATAACATTACAGTAGTAGCTTCCGAGATCAGTAAGTTCTGCATAAACACCATTGCCGTAACGAATGCAGCCTTCCAGCTGAGAATGGCTGAAAGGAAGTCAATCTCCATGCTTTGGTTGTTTTGCTGTTATTCATGGAAGTAAACTTTAAAAAAGCTTCTGTATTTTCCCCTCTTTCTTTCCCAAGGCTACAGCTTATGAAGAGGCAACTTTGTGCCTGAATGGAAAGGAAATTAGTATGCCCCTCATTTCAGATCAAATAGACTAAAGAAATCCTCCTGGCCATTGGTTAATTAGGATGGCAATTGCTGCTTGTGAACAGCTGCATAGATTGTACCCCCTCCCCACAAAAAGGGGTACATAATATTGAGGAAGGAGAGGGGAATATGCTGTTCTTTATGTCCCAACTAAATTCAGCCCTGTAGCATTGACCAAGATACTTAAAAGGCCATCATTTCAAGTCACTTACTTCTTTCTGCGTTCCCCTATTAATTTCATTAGGGCCAGATTTAATTAGAAGCCCGGAGCCCAGTACATCACTCCTAAATCCACTTACATGAAAGCTATTGTAGATGGGACTTGCTTCCAAGTAGGCAGGCTTAGAGGACTAGCAGAAGGCATTTAGATTGCATTCAAGCCAAAGGCCAATTTGTCGACTTCAGAAACATCAACAGCATTTGAAACCCTTCTCCGTTTCTTGTTTGGTCTGAATGGGGACTCTGGATTGGGAGGAAGGGGAACACTTCACAATTAGGCGAGTCTAGATAATCAAGTAGGGACGCGGGTGGCGCTGTGGGTAAATCCTCAGCGCCTAGGACTTGCCGATCGCATGGTCAGCGGTTCGAATCCCCGCGGCGGGGTGCGCTCCCGTCGTTCAGTCCCAGCTCCTGCCCACCTAGCAGTTCAAAAGCACCTCCGGGTGCAAGTAGATAAATAGGGACCGCTTACCAGCGGGAAGGTAAACGGCGTTCCGTGTGCTGCGCTGGCTCGCCAGATGCAGCTTGTCACGCTGGCCACGTGACCCGGAAGTGTCTGCGGACAGCGCTGGCTCCCGGCCTATAGAGTGAGATGAGCGCACAACCCTAGAGTCTGTCAAGACTGGCCCGTACGGGCAGGGGTACCTTTACCTAGATAATCAAGTAACTGTAGGTTGCGCACAACTAATTAATGAATCATCTCTATTAATGCCAATGGGTCTATTCTAAGTAGAGCTAGCACAGAAGATCACTCCGTTGAGTTCAATATTCATGCAGGGAGCCTGTGCAAATTAGGTAGCCTTGTTTAAGCACCTGTTTTCTATGTAAACCTGCCACCGAACACTTTTTTAATCATCTCCAATATTTTAGGTCACATCCAGGTAACTAGATGTCTCGTTAATGGGAGACATCAAAACTTCTTCCAGGAAACCATAGTAACTGCAGTTCTGAGAGGAAGGGGGGAAATGGCGGACAGCTAACTTGGGTGGCCAGATTAAAAAAAGAGGACAGGCTCCTCCACCTTTAATGGCAAGCAGAAGATAAATAATCTCTCAAAATTGCCTCTTCTGCACAACAGTTGGAAGGTTCAGGAGCTCTGTGTTCTTCTGCATTTGGCTATCCTATCTCTTTTCAATGATTCTCACTGGACTACAATGACCAGAATTCTTTAACCATCATATTTAAAGGGATATAGAAGTGATCACTATCTAGCAAAGAGAGAGCCTAGGAGCACCTACATGTGCAAATGTAATTCAGTCAACACTGAGAAGAATCTTGTTTTGTTGCATTTGACTGTGAAGCACAGCAGAATAACAATTATTTAATGCCTTCCATGGCATTAGATAGCTAGATTCTACAGGAAATCTCAAGGCTCTTATTTGCAGCTCAGCAGGAGGAACAGAGCTATGTATATCCCATATTTGAGGAAGGGGGGAATAAAAAATAATAATAATTTGCTCCCAGGCCCTCTCAATTATGTGCCAAGAGAAATGCTGAATTCTGCACTTGGAATAAATTATTCAAATTTCTCTAGTTTTTGACATTTAAGCGGGTGTTGCTAATTTAAGGTAGGCTTGAAAGTCTATTCTGAAAACTTGCTCTTTTTAAAAAAGAAAGAAAGAAAGCAAACTGAGATTCTTAGGAAGCCAGTTCATGCATCCAATACCACATTCTGTGATTATTATTATTTTTTCTAGGCTCTTGTAAAATTGCTGCATACACATGGATCTGCTTGATCCTTCCTTTTTCTTTCTTTCTTTTTTAATAATATTTATTGCTTTTACAACAATTTAAACACTACAAAAAAAAAATACATTACAATACAAAGACACTACCTTACACTAAAACATTAAACTAACAAGACGAAACAAAAACAATTTAAAAACACATCAACAAAGAAAAGAAAAGGAAAAAAAATAAATTTCAATGTCTTATCTTTCTTTCACATATTTCCACGACCTCCTCACACCTCCCTTTTTGTATTCCACTTCTATTAATTATTTCAGCAATTCCTTTCCATCTTCCCCTGTTTCCTATCCTATAATTATCTTAACATATTTCAACCTCATTTTTCTTTTAATACTCTATTAATCTATTTGTACTTAATTCCTTATAACCGTTCTACTAAAGCCATATCACTTCATTCCAACATTCTTCTAGCATTCCTTAATTTTACAATATTTCTGTAAATAGTCTTTAAACTTTTTCCAGTCTTCTTCCACCGACTCTTCTCCCTGGTCTCGGATTCTGCCAGTCATTTCCGCCAATTCCATGTAGTCCATCAACTTCATCTGCCATTCTTCCCTGGTGGGTAAATCTTGTGTCTTCCAATACTTCGCGATGAGTATTCTTGCTGCTGTTGTTGCATACATAAAAAAAGCTCTATCCTTCTTTAGCACCAATTGGCCGACCATGCCCAGGAGAAAGGCCTCTGGTTTCTTAAGGAAGGTATATTTAAATACCTTTTTCATTTCATTATAAATCATCTCCCAGAATGTCTTAATCCTTGGGCACGTCCACCAAAGGTGAAAGAATGTACCTTCAGTCTCATTACATTTCCAACATTTATTATCGGGCAAATGGTAAATTTTTTCAAGCTTAACTGGTGTCATGTACCACCTATAAATCATTTTCATTAAATTTTCTCTTAGGGCATTACATGCCATAAATTTCATACCTGTGGTCCATAACCGTTCCCAGTCAGCCATCATTATGTTATGTCCAACATCTTGTGCCCATTTAATCATAGCTGGTTTCACCGTTTCATCCTGAGTGTTCAATTTCAACAGCAAGTTATACATTCTTGACAAATTCTTGGTTTTTGGATCTAACAATTCTGTTTCCAATTTTGATTTTTCCACCTGGAAACCAACTTTTTTGTCCAATTTGTATGCCTCCATTATTTGATAATAATGGAGCCAATCTCGCACTTTGTTTTTCAATTTTTCAAAGCTCTGCAATTTTATTCTATCTCCATCTTGCACCAGAAGTTCCCAATATTTCGGCCATTTGGCCTCCATATTGAGTTTTTTCTGTGCCTTCGCTTCCATTGGTGACAACCATCTTGGGGTTTTCTTTTCTAACAAATCCTTATATCTTATCCAAACATTAAACAATGCTTTTCTAACAAGATCCTTCCTTTTTCTTATGCATTATGTGTAGCTATAAAATGGGTCACTGAACTCTTTCTGAAAACAGTGCTCAAGTAGTTTAGAGAGCAATAGGGCAAGGCCTGAGCTAGCGCGCCTCAGGTGAATGATCTTTGGTTAGCCTCTCAGAAGGGAAGGGATGGAAGGATGCTTTGCTCCTCTCCCCACAATCTCTACTCAAAAACATTTTATGGAATCTTAAATAACATGTCGACAAGCAAGTAGCTTTTTCTTATTTTCTGGCAGCCACAATGCCACTTTACCATCTCTTAAGACCACGCTGTTGACTGCGCAGAAAACAGGGGTGAAGAACCTTTGTCACGCTGAATGCCACATTTCCTTTTGGACAATGTTTCGAAGGCCACCTGCTAGCAGTGAGCAGGCCAAGAGTAACAATGGGGAGATCAAGGAATGTAAATTTCTCATTGTGTAGTACGCTTGTTTCCACACACAAACACCAGACAAGCAAGAGGTATTATCTGAGGTCTAGGGCACATTCCAACCAGAGGAAAAACTTCCCTGACATAAAGCAGGCCCAGTGAGGGGTGTGGCTTGGAGAACGTTCAGAGGGCCACATGGGGAGATATGGAGGGCTGCATTCATCCTTCAGGCCTGAAGTTCCCAACCCCTGACCAAGAACAATTGCAAAGTTTGGGGCATTTTATTGCTTTCTGTCCAGTTGTGCATATGCTTGCCCTGCACTGACTGCACCTTTTACCCGACAGAGCGTTCTCTGTTTCTGAAGCCACAAGTGCACACTGTTGTCATGCGCTTCCATGCGATGAGAAGAAAATTGCCCCATGTCTCAGCGTGATCATCATTTATCATCGATAAAGGCACCAGCAGGCACTAATGCAAACAGTAAAACTAGCAGGTCCTTGCCTTCCAACTCACAATTTTGTTTGACATTTTTTAGATGCTAAAGAATGTGAAACAAAGGGAAGGAGGACTTAAGGGGAGGAGAAAAACTGTGCACTAGCTAAGTGAAACAAACAATGAGTAAAACACAGACTATAATTAGCCAACGAGTAAGAAAGGGAAGAGAGAGAGCAAATGAGTTTTTAGTAGTTTCTTAAAATGGCAAAGAGGAGATCAGTCAGACATCTCTTTTTTTATTTTTATCAATGCTTCCTCCAGGATAGTAAATTCCTAGTCTTCAGCTATGTACTGCTAATTTGTAAGATGGTCCAAAAGATGTTAATGATGTCGTTGTTCTCTGAAATTGTCATACCATGGTGCTTCCTATATATCAGAGCTACTTTTCTCCACATGGACCCAAAATATGGCATGGATCTTTCTCATGGTGCTGGGGTGACACATAAAAAGCACCTATGTTTATGACCGATTACACAGCCAGCCAGTGTGGTATAATAGCTAAGAACAAGTATGCTGAGGACTACATCCTTGGGAGACAGCTGGAGTTTTTGCAGATGTTGGACGCCCCTTGTCCAAACAAGACATCTGTGGATGTTACAGGTGCCACAGGAATATGATCATAACCTGCTCGGCCAATAAAATATAGAACGTGCAGCTCCACCATTCGATGATGAGGCCCCATACTTCCTTTAGTGATTTGAAATATGAAGGTTAAGTGAGTCATGGGCAATTTGCAACTGCCAGGAACGATGTCTCAATGCCTTCCATCAGGAAGATTTTGGGCACCACATGGCAGGACAGAGTTCTGAACAAAGATGTCCTCTCCTAAGCTCACATTCCCAGACGTCCTGTCTCAGCGACGTCTACACTGGCTTGTTCATGTCCACAGAATGGAAGATGGCAGGATACCTAAGGACGTGCTCTACCGGTAGCTGGCTTCAGGCACCAGGCCCATTGGCAGACCAACTCTGTGCTACAAAGATGTCTGCAAATGTGACAACGTGTGGCAATCCCTTGCAGATGACTGCAGTGCCTGGAGACTGTTATGTACTGAAGTTCTCACCCTGGGCCAGCAGGGGGATACTGTAGATAGTTATGCAAATAAGGGATCAAAAGTGACGTTCAGTGATTGGATAGTTTTAGAAAGTTGTTACAGTAACGTTGTACTGGAGCTCTATATAAGCAGGCTGACTGAACCCTTCAGTTCAGTTCTGTCCTGGCCTGTGAATAAACAAGAGCTGTTTGAAGAATCACTGTGTCGTCTGATATGTTCACCCACAACTTAACACTGGCGACGAGGATGGGATGGATGGACAACAGAGCACAGCCAGATGCAGCCACCCTCTGAGCAGAGCTGAATCACTGAGCTGAAACACTGAGCGAAATCACTGAACGTCACTTTCGATCCCTTATTTGCATAACTATCTACAGTATCCCCCTGCTGGCCCAGGGTGAGAACTTCAGTACATAATAGAGACAGGTTGTGCTTCCATAACAGTGGCCAAAGGAGGAATGATCGCTGGGAGGAGCGCAGAGAGGAGAAACGTCATGGTGCATCCGCAGCAGCACAACTGGACACCTTCATCTGCCCCAGCTGCAACAAAACATGCCTCTCTGAAATTGGTCTCTACAGGCACAGCAGCCACTGTAACCTTCCAACGGTTTGACTTCACTCCCAAAGGCACACTCCTCCTTCGTCTCCCGAGACAGATTGATGCCAGCCAAAAGCTCCATACCTGCTAAATATCTCTGTATTTTAGGGGTTACAGAGGGACCCTCAGCAAAGGAGGAATATTTTCATGGTTATTGCAATGCATACTCCCGACAAACATATGCCTCTCTGTTGGGCCACCTTGACTTACTCACGAGCCCAAGGAAATCAGTGACGGACGCAGAAGTGGGATTCAAGTTGTTCAGTATGCAGCTGCCTTGCAGATGAGAGTTCTGAAGTTGTTTTGAATGATGAATTTTCCACACCTGAAAGCTATGAAAGGTGAAACAGCAAGTGCACCACAGAAAGCACTTCAAAAGCCAAGATCAAGAGAAATTTAGGATTTCAGTCTTTGGTTTGATAGATGCTACATGAATAACTAAGAAATGTGTGTGTTTGCATAATGCAGCGAGAGGAAGGGAGCTGCCTGCTCCACATAGTAACACTTCCCACTCCTTCCATAAGAAAAAGAAAGAACCAGGTGACAATTAGGTTAGACTGAAGAGAACAAAGTTAAGCAATTTATTCATTGAAGAAAAAGAACTCGGGAGGGATGAGGAAGAGATAAAGAGCAGCGAAGCTTAAAGTTTGCGTAAGCATATTGGAAAGTGGTGTTCCTGATAGTTATCGCCCGAGAACTGATTGCTTGCTTGTGGGAGAGAATATTGATTTTGCATTTCTAAGCAAGTTTCTCCTATTGACTTCAACTCTATGTTTTAAAATGTTGCAGCTTTCAGATTCGCAGCCGTTAAGGCTATACAAAGAAAAACCTTCACTTGACATGTTTATCCTGCACTTCCGTTGTCCCTGGGAAGCCATGGGGGGGGGCTTAGGAAGCATCAGATTACCCTCTCCCAGGGCAGAGAGAAAGAACTCTGAGGTTCAAAGAGGGAATTCAATGCTGAATGCCCCATCCTTTCTGTAAAGGAAGGGGGAAGCTAGAAGAGCCGACTTATGCTCTTCCTTGCACAACCGTCTTGTAAGGCTGTGGCCCAAACGATTCAATAATGCTGTCACCAATACTTGCTTAGTTATTTTACATATTTCCCGTATGACTGTTGTCCAGAATAGTTGGATTTTAGACATCACCCCAGAATTGGCCCTACTAAACATCTTCCAAGACAATTCACAGCTGAAGGGCTTTTTCCATGCAGTAATATTTGATGGTCAGCCACACAAGAGTGGCAGATCAAATTTCAAATGTAAAGACCTCCGTGGGGGTTTCTGGTGGTCTGCTTGGCGGAATTTTATAAAGTCAGATGGATATGAAAGCGGGAGAGGATCGAAGGAGATAAAAATGAGCATAGAATTCCTACCTTTGGTTTAGGAGGCAGTTAGAGATGTATTCTGATTGTACCTGCAAATTCCCCCCTTAACTCTCACAAATAAATTGTGCACACAAAAAAATGTCGCCCATTGCTTGCATTAGCCTTGTGAATGTATTGTTCCAAACAAGGCAGTGGGTAGGTGGGGGGGGGCGGGAGTCAAACTCATTACTAAAATGTTTTCACCGGCTTTCTCTTTGTGTCACTACAGACAATCCAAAGGAAAGCAGCCGCATCCCAGTGTTTATTAAAGTCCTGGACGTGAATGACAACGCCCCGGAGTTTGCCATGTTTTACGAAACCTTCGTCTGCGAAAACGCAAAGGCCGAGCAGGTGTGCGGTTTGCGCTTTGTAACGAATAAATATGAGATTTATAAACGTGGTCTGTGTTATAGTGGCAACAGCACTGTGCCTGTGAGCTGGCCCTATGCATTGCAAAGGAACTGACAGTGATGCTAAGTGAAATGAGACCATGACTATCTTGCATCAGCTTGCGACTGGCATTCCCTTAGGAGCTGATGTGATGCGGCATTGCATATCACAGAGTTCAGCGTGGCTCCTTCTTGAACTTCAGTTTGCCGGCCCCATATTTCCCCTTAATTTGCTCTGTTTAATGCTTCTCTTGATGAATCCCTTGCAGGTTTGATATGAAAGGCACATATTTGAAATTAGTTCTGTTGCCACCTAGGTATTTGCAAGATCTGGGTGGGGAATGAGACAAAAGATTGGGGTCTTCTTTTTTTAAATGGACTGAAAAGAACTACTCAACATACTCTAATGTTTGGGGAGGCAAAGCCCTTTGTAGTTACCCCAGTTCACCATGCCCTACAGCCCGGGAGACAATTCACTAGTTGGGTGTGTGGCGGATTGCCTGGTCATTCTGTGCCCCAGAAGAAAGGCAAAGTCTGAAGGGGGCATCTAAATGTGTTCCACAGAGTGCATTTAGAAACCTACCAGGTTTCCCAGTCATGAGGTGGCTTGCAAGTGCATTCAGCTGAGCACAGAAACCCCCTTTAGCCCATCTCTCTCAACATGAGATGGTTGGGGAGGAACAGGTATAATAAGGTTGCCCTATGTCCGGAATTTTCCAGACATAGCTGGGATTTGGGCATCAAGAACTTATACCCCACCCATCTGGCTAGGTTTCCCCAGCCACCCTGGGTGGCTCCCAACAGAACACTAAAAACAGAATAATACTTCAAACATCAAAAACTTTCCTAAACAGGGCTGCCTTCAGGTGTCTTCTAAAAGTCAGATAGTTGTTTATTTCCTTGGCATCTGATGGGAGGGTGTTCCACAGGGTAGGTGCCGCTACCAAGAAGCTCTACCTGCTTCCCTGTAACCTCACTTCTCGCAATGAGGGAACTGCCAGAAGGCCATTGGAGCTGGACCTCAGTGTCCGGGCTGAACAATGGGGGTGGAGACACTCCTTCAGGCATACTGGGCCTTTGAGGCCATTTAGGGCTTTAAAGGTCAGCACCAACACTTTGAATTCTGTTTGAAAACGTACTGGGAGCCAATGTAGGTCTTTCAAGACCGGTGGTATATGGTCTTGGCGGCCGCCCCCAGTCACCAGTCTAGCTGCCACATTCTGGATTAGTTGTAGTTTCCGAGTCACATTCAAAGGTAGCCCCACATAGAGCACATTGCAGTAGTCCAAGCGGGAGATAACTAGAGCATGCACCACTCTGGTGAGACAGTCCGCAGGCAGGTAGGGTCTCAGCCTGCGTAGCAGATGGAGCTGGTAGAAAATCCCTATATGAGACACGTATTCCAAAGCAACTCTTAGAGAACAACATTTCTTTGCTGGAAATCTCAACCACTGCTATCAGCTTGGCACACGGCTTCGAACTCATTGCTCTAAGGTTATTTGTGAAATAATACAGTGTGAACAAGGTCTTGGTCTCAAAGAGCCTGGCTGTCACAGCAATGGTAATACAATAATGCCATTGTCCATTTTTTAGCTCATACAGACCTTAAGTGCCGTTGACAAAGACGACTCTTTCGGCGGACACAAATTTTCCTTCTCGCTGGCTCCCGAAGTAGCCAGCAGCTCCAATTTCACCCTTCAGGACAACAGAGGTAATTCTTGTCTATCTGCTTCATTCTGTTTGGGGTTGGGGAACTTTCAGAATGAACATGCTGCTTCCAATGCTCATGGTTCTCTCCAGATAACACAGCCGCGATCTACACAAGGAGAACCCGGTATAACAGACACGAGATGAATATCTACCTCCTGCCCGTGGTAATATCGGACAACGACTACCCGATTCAGAGCAGCACGGAAACCGTGACCATCCGAGTGTGCGCCTGCGACCAGAGAGGGAAAATGCTCTCCTGTAACGCCGAAGCGCTGATCCATCCAACCGGCCTCAGCACAGGCGCTCTGATCGCAATTCTCCTCTGCATCATTATACTGCTAGGTAAAGGAGTCGCTTAAATTGTGGGAGGTGGGAAGAGAAGCACAGCATGTCCATGGATGGAGAATGCATGTGTGCTACACGTTAACAAAGCCATGGGGATTTAAGAACTGTAGTCATGGGCAGCAGCCAGGATTTAGGTTAGGAGGGCAGGACACCCCACCTGTCATCATCCTCTGCCTGGGTCTGTCTAGCAGATTCGGAAGGAGATGCCTCAGAATTGCTTTCTTTTCAGCCCAAGTCCTCAGTCTAAATCTTCAGTCATTTGAAAACTAGGAAGTTAAATAACAAAATCAGAGACCGCCTTTTGTGTGGTTAACGAGTCTCTTTTGCAAAACTACAAAGAACACGCCTTTTTTCATCTTTTTTTTTTTAAATCAAAACTAAAACAAGTTTCCTCAGATTTGCTGATAACCTTTTCAGCACTTCCTTCTCAAATTCCTCCTATTTTCTGATGAAGTTTTTTTTTCTCCTGTGAATGCTCAGTAAGCATTGCCCATTTCTACTTTTAGTTAATTATTTTTATTTATTTACTTGATGGAAGAAGCAGCCTCCCCCTTCTCCTGGCTACACCCATGACCGTAGTTATCCAGTGTCATTGGAGAAGTGATCTCATTTGAATTACACAGGGTTTTTGTACTTCCTTCCAGGATCCTCCCTGGATGCCTATGAGAATTTAATCTGTGGTGACCCCAAATATACAGATAACACAACCACCTCCACTGTACACTTCTGCCTCAGTCATACATAGGCCAACCACAATCAGAAATCACTGCAAGCACCTGAGCTGTCAGGCCACGGCCTAAGCCACCATACACACATGTCCACTAAACTTTAGCTTTTACATGAGCACATTCACCTGCTGATCATAACCACAAAGTGCAGCAGGTACACACTGACCCAAACGTACACAGTCCCAAAGTTCACCAGTGGAGGAAGCTGTGATCGTATCAACTCCTTGACTCCAGTAACACAATATCTCAGTTTACCCAAGTTACACTACCAACTCTTGGCGCCTACCATAAAAATCCTATTTTGTGTTTTAATTGTTTTTTTACTGATTTTCCAATATTGTTCCAATAACAGCCTCATTATAACCATGCCAATTTCATCCAGTTAATACAATTATCAAAACCAATTATTTATATACCAAATTATACAATTTCGTTAAAGTGGCCTCCTTACCTGCTAGATTTGATGGCTTCCTCTTTCCTTTTCCTTTTCCAAAATCTTAATAATTTCAGTTACATTCCCTTCAAGATAACGATCCCCTTATAGGGATTGCAATCTTATGGTTTCAATTCGCATTAATATATTAAGTGATTTATAAAGTCTCAAGCGAGGTGCTCGGTCTGTAATCATAGTTCTTTCCTGCGTGTGGTAACCGCCACCCCCCAAATGATGTTGTCCCAACCATATATAGTGTTGTGTCCTTCATTCTTCCAACTGTTGATATTTCCCATCATGACTTGGGGGAAGCGGTTGTCTCACAGTTTTCCAAAAGCCTCTACGTCGCTTTGCCCTGTGATTCGGGAGTTCGTTGGAGACCCCTCCGTTCCAACAAATAAATTGTCCTCGCCATTTTTTTTTTCCAACCTAGGAAGAGCAGTCTGATTCCAAACTGCCAGGGATTAATAGGAAAACCTATTGCAGCTGGCAGATTCTTCCCCGCTTTCCGCTAAAAATTTATAATCGGTTACCTTTCCCATTTGATTACAGTGGTACCTCAGGTTAAGTACTTTATTCATTCTGGAGGTCCGTTCTTAAACTGAAACTGTTCTTAACCTGAAGCACCACTTTAGCTAATGGGGCCTCCTGCTGCCGCCGCGCTGCCGGAGCACGATTTTTGTTCTCATCCTGAAGCAAAGTTCTTAACCCGAGGTACTATTTCTGGGTTAGCAGAGTCTGTAACCTGAAGCGTATGTAACCTGAAGCGTATGTAACCCCAGGTACCACTGTACGTTCCAAATTGTCTCAGTTTCCGCATTCCTTTGAAAATAACGGAGAACAAGGGTGGTTTTGTTCTGTATTCCATCATAGTCCTTTCAAAGGGTGAAACATCCACCACACCCCTTTATCAGCATCCTATTTCTAATCCATGGGTAGACAAACTAAGGCCTGGGGGCCGGATCTGGCCCAATCACGTTCTAAATCCGGCCTGCGGACGGTCCAGGAATCAGCGTGTTCTTACATGAGTAGAATGTGTCCTTTTATTTAAAATGCATCTCTGGGTTATTTGTGGGGCATAGGAATTGGTTCATTTTTTTCTTCAGAATATAGTCCTCCCCGCCACAAGGTCTGAGGGACAGTGGACCGCAGATGGTCCGGGAATCAGCATGTTTTTACATGAGTAGAATGTGTCCTTTTATTTAAAATGCATCTCTGGGTTATTTGTGGGGCATAGGAATTCATTCATTTTTTTCTTCAGAATATAGTCCAGCCCCCCACAAGGTCTGAGGGTCAGCTGAAAATGTTTGCTGACCTCTGTACAGCAGACTCATCATTGCCCAGGGAAATGAGACTCCACAGTTCTTCCAAAGACTTCACTTTGTGCGGTAGGAGCTTCTTATTCCATGCACAAGCCCATCCCGCAAAGAGCACCTCTTTGGGCTCCATCAGAGGGTATTAGGGAAGACAGGTCAGGTTTGGGGAATCACCTTGTTGAGCTGTGCAGGAAGTAACATGTCAGTAGGGTTTGGATTGGAAACAACAATTCTTTGGGTCCCAGGCCTAGCATTCACTGGCTTTCAATTAAACAGTTGCTTTAGCATTGTATCTTTCTCAATCCGCTTTCATGCTTTGTTTAGGCAATCTCAACACTATGTGAAACAAAGGCACGGAAAGAATTGAACTACAATTTCCATTTTTAGCAGCGACAAAAGGCAGATTTATTTTTATTTTTTATTTTTGCTGTTCACCCCACCCCCACCCCCTCGGCTGCATGGCGGATTTCACTTTCAGCCTGAGAAAGCCTAGGCTGTTTATTGAAAAATCCCAGATAATGCTAAGAACTGCTGAGGGTAGTGGGGAGAAAAAACAGCTCAGCTTTACATTTATGTTAACGTTTTGTTGAGCATTAGGAGGGCTTATTTTACAAGTTCACTTCAGACGGGAAACTGAGCATCAAGAACAGGGTTATATTTGGAGCTGAGTCAGTGGTTTGCACAAATCCAATTTGAATATTCATTTCTTTTTAGTGAAATCTCATTCATAATGACATTAGCGAGGCAGAATAAAAAACCAAAAACAAATCAGCTCTGGGATTTTGAGCTGTTGTGTACTGGATAACACAGAGGACAATGTTTAGCAAAGGCAGTCTGGGGGATGGTTTAGAATTTATAGTTGATGCACGATAGCAGCTGCCATCTCAGGGCACCTCTGCCCTCTGTCCCCATCTTATGCAGCCCTCAACACATCTGGAAGCTGCTTCCTTCTTCCTTCCTTCCTTCACTTCCTTTTTGTTTGTTTCCTCATTATTTTTCCTGGCTCTTAAAAAAGCATTTCCCTTTCTTTCTGTGTGATTTTGGAACATTTAGAAAGGGCAGTACGGTGGTACCTCGGCTTACGAACGATTCAGTTTACAAACTCCGCAAAACCGGCAGTAGTGTCCCGGTTTGCGAACTTTACCTCGGTCTAAGAATGGAATCCGAACGGTGGAAGGGCACCGGTGGCGGGAGGCCTCAATAGGGAAAGCGCACCTCGGTTTAAGAATGGACTTCCGGAGCGGATTAAGTTTGTAAACCGAGGTACTACTGTATTTTTATTTAATAAAAATAACTTGATGCCTTTTTTAAAGAACTTTATTTACTGGTCATATTATTTATTTATTTATTTATCTATCTATCTATGTCCTTGTACTCTGTATAAAGAATTAAAATTAGGAACTGCAACACATGTTCCTTATTGTTTTCTCAAGGAAAGGGGGGAAAAAACAAATTTTTACTTTTTTCACCTATAATATGGCTAATGTGGCATTTCACCTGGAAAGGTGCACTCTCTTGCTCTCTGTATGTGAATAATAATAATAATATACCACCATATACCCAGAAGTCTCAGGGCGTTCCCTTAAATAAATTCCAAAGCATTTCTGGCATTAGTCATTTTAAGAGACAACTTTTTTCTTTCCTTTCCATTTCATGTGCCTTGAAATTGAACTTGTGATTTCATAAGGATCATTTCCATGCTGCGCAAAGTAAAACAAAAACAAAAACCCCAAAGCAACATCTACCGCTGACAAAAAATAACTGCTCTTCATCTTCCTTCAAGCTTGAAATCCGGTTTCCTCCTAATGTTTACCCTCCTTGCAACCCCCAGTGCTCACAGTAGGATTGGCTGCAGTGTGAGAGACTGTGGATTTGGAGTGGGCAGTTTGATAGAGTTTCTTATAAAAGACAACATTCGAGCAACACATATATTGCCCATTCTATTTTTGTTCTTAATTGGGCGGCAAATGAACTCCTCCTCCTCCTCAGCATTCACCGACACTGCTTCTTGTTTTTCTTTCCAGTTACAGTGGTGCTGTTTGCAGCCTTGAGACGACAACGGAAGAAAGAGCCTTTGATCATTTCCAAAGAGGACATCCGAGACAACATTGTCAGCTACAATGACGAAGGTGGCGGAGAGGAAGACACCCAAGCGTTTGATATTGGCACGCTGCGGAACCCTGAAGCCATAGAAGACAATAAACTGCGACGAGACATTGTGCCAGAAGCGCTTTTCGTGCCGCGCCGGACTCCAGTGGCGCGGGATAACACCGACGTCAGAGATTTCATTAGCCAAAGGTTAAAGGAGAATGATTCGGATCCAACAGCGCCCCCTTATGACTCATTAGCAACCTACGCATATGAAGGCAATGGATCTGTGGCAGAGTCCCTCAGCTCCTTGGAGTCGGTGACCACGGATGGAGACCAGGACTACGATTACCTCAGTGACTGGGGTCCGCGGTTTAAAAAGTTGGCCGACATGTACGGTGGAGCGGACAGCGACAAAGACTCTTAATATGTTGCCTTTTTCCCCATTTTCAAGAAACAGCATTGAAATGTGTGGCATTGCTACGTCTTTCTATTTATCCACAGTTATTTGAAAGGGTCCTCTACCAGTTCGAATAGTTTCCGTGACTGCAGTCTTTGTGGATCCAATGTCATCCCCTCCGACCCCCGCAAATATAATTTGAGCATCCAAGAGGCAAATAATGTGGTGGGTGGAGGGGGGTGGGGAAGAAAACTCCCTTATTTTCTGTGCACCCTGTATACCAAAACAGTCAAAGAGGCACAATGGCAGGGAGATGGAGGGACAATGGAAATGGAATAACGGTTTTAACTTGTTCTACTTTATCTTCTAAATTGGATTACCTTACTGTTATATTTCGCCCAATAATCTCACTGTATTTTAATTACGCAGCTCAGACATGTTTTCCGCAGATTATGTCTTGAAACACCCCATAGTAAGGAAGCATTGTGGCTTAGCTTAAACATTATAGCAAAAGGAGGGGGGGTGTAGCTCTTTTAAAAGCCACAATCTGCTGGCAAGGAATATTTCAAAGGATCTAGTGGCCATTCAAGCACCAGTGTCAGTTTTGAACTGGTCACTTGGTTCAAAGTATTAAAGTGGTGGTGGACAATCAAGAGATGGGGAAGAAGGGGGGGGACTTACTAGGTTCATTGTGTGTGACCATAACAGTGCACCAGAAATGACACAATATTTGAAATATTGTGTTCCTGGAAACCGACCAACCAAATAGCGTGTGTTCAATAATACATATCAGGGATAGCCAAAAGTGGTGGCTTCTAGATTTTAGACTCCAACTCACATCAACTCCAGACAACATAACCAAGGATAATGAGAGCTGTAGTCCAGCAAAATCTGGAGGACACCACGTTGATTACTTCTGACATGTATCAAGGAAGGAAGAGGCATAAGGTTGAAAATACACCTGGAGTTGGATTCAGACGTGTTAATCTGCATCCAACCCATAACACATAAAGAGAGCTCCCTGTGTACATTCGGTGAGTTCCATTTTATATTGTTCCGTTCCTAAGCATACCAGCAGATTGAAAGCTAACTGTCTTACCCCTCTCCCTGCTTCCTTGCTTGCCTGGCCACTGCTATTCCCTCCTCCTATTGAAGCAAAGGATTCTGCTCCTGAGTGCCTGGGAAGGATGTGGCAGCCAAGGATGTTGTATTACATCCAGCTAAGTCATTCTCAAGAGTAGACCCATGGAAATCAACAGGCTTAAGTTAGAACTTAAGGTAATGGGGTTATACCCTGTGCTAGCCTTACTCAGAGTTAAGCCCGTTGAAGCTAACTTTAGGTTCATTGATTCCAATGGATCTACTCCATTGCATACAACCCACAGATTTCAGTGGGCCTACTCTAAGTATAACTTAGTAGAATACAATCCTTTTTTTCCCAAGAAGAGGTGGTGGTGGAGGAGAAAGAGGTAGCAGCAATGATGACAGGGGCAAGCCATCAAGCAGAAAGGCAACTTCTGGTACAATCTCCACCTTGCCAAAATCAGCGAGAGCCTGGTCATTCATTTCAGTATGGACCAGTGTTGGCGCATGGAAGGGGAGGACTGAATGCATGACTCAGCTACTGCTGTTAAGCCAGACAGCAGCCTAGGTGGGCATGCACATTGATTGTGAGGAGCATCAAAGGTGGGTTTTCATGGAGGTGGTGTCCAGGACAGTGCCAAACATTTTGAAGGATGGAGATTTCTCTCTTCACTTTTGTCATCTGAGGTGGGACCCAAGATAACCACGTCAGCTTTAAAAGCCAATCAGAAAAGCAAGAGAGAGCAAGGACCGGGAGCTGACACTATAGTTGGTTGAAGCTCATTAAGCAGAAAGATATTTCTGAGATAAATAGGAGAGCTTCAGCTGATGTCAAATACTCAAACATCCTTTGTAGAACTCTGGAAGAATGGTTTGGTCATTCACTTGGTGTGGACGACATGACCAACAAAGCTAATAGCACCCGAGCTGACCTCAAGAGCTCTTTGCTTTAGCTAATGGCAGCATTTTAAACGATAATTTTAATAATTTGTCCTTTTTTTGCATTATAGTAGATGCACTCTTTATTAATTAACAACAATAATTACGTAGTTTCACATGATTTTATGACTTGCGCTTTTTGTTTAGATAGTTAACATTAGAGTGCTTAGAGTACAGCCGATGTATATAGGCAGGAGGAGATTCAAAATTCTTTGGGTAAAGGGTTGCCACTAATTTTTTCATCTGGCTTCCTTGCAGCTGTGTAGATCCTGGCTAAAGTATCAGTTGTAGCCACAGTAGTACCTGCCAGATTGGGAGGCAGGTGGAGTGTGGAAAGAGAGATATAGGGAACAGCACAGCTCTCACCCGTATGTGGTTTGTAAAAGGCATCCAGAAAAGGCTTTATCTATCACTAGAACTGCCGGCGGGAACTTTTCAAGGGACCTCAGACAGATGTAAGAACAGGTCCGTCTTGTTATACTGCACCGAAGGTACTAAACCATTATCACAGAAAGTCAGCTTAACAGTATAGTCCTCTGCATGTCTACTCAGAAGTAACTGAGTTCAAGTCAGTCTTACCCCAGTCCCAGATAAGTGTGTATAGGATTGCACTCTACATGAACCTAAGAATTTAAGCCATGGACCTAGGATAGGTATGGTTAGATTTCTCCAATTACAGCTACATCTGGAGGATGGTAATCCTAAAATATTGTGCTTACAATGCTACCAATCCCCCGCAACCCAATATTTATTTGCCAAAGGACAGAGGTACGGTTCTGAGGTTACATTTGAGTACAGTGGTACCTTGCTTTAAGAACAGCCCTGTTTATGAACTATTCGGTTTACGAACTCCACAAAACTGGAAGTAGTGTCCCAATTTGTGAACTTTACCTCAGTCTAAGAACGGAATCCGAATGGTGGAAGGGCACCGGTGGCGGGAGACCTCATTAGGGAAAGCGCACTTCAGTTTAAGAAGGGTTTTGGTTTAAGAACAGACTTCCGGAAAGGATTAAGTTCATAAACCGAGGTACCACTGTACTAGCATCTTAAAAGAATATGGTGCAAGAACTGCCATAGATGCAATTCTTTACTATGACAAAGATCCCAGAGGAAACATTTTCTCTTGGTTCCCAAACAGATTCTCTAGACTTATGTTGTCACAGTCATAGCTAACCATTTGAATTTGTTTTAGACTTGTTTCTTTTTATTACCCACCAATGCACCTAATTTTCCATTTGTGTCTTTGGCTGGAGATGGACAATAGTGAGTTTCTCCTACGGAGATTTGAGAGTGTTTAGAAAGAGGGTTCATGTACATTTCACATTCATGCCACTTGGCAATTTTTATTGGGGGGGGAGGGAGAGAATTGTTTCAAAAAACCCATTAAGCCAGTTTCAGCAAAGACAACAATATGACAAAAGAAATGCTTATACACTAGAAGTGAAACCTCTCTTAAACCACATCCAGGTCTCTTGAAAGCTATTGTCAATCTTCTGACTTTAAGATGCAAGTACAAGAATCATAGATTAGCAGGTTCGATCCACAATCAGGTCTGAAGATGCCTCCTTACATTGTACAGCATACAAGATGCAGAAGAAATCCGCTAGATGCCATTACAGATTCATTTTACTTTGTAATATCTTAAAAGTTTGTGTGCATAAAATACACAGCTGCAAATAAGTTGGCCAAACGAGACATTTCACGATGCTTTATGAAAGCTCTCAATGCAGTAGTTTTAAAATGCAAAGTGCTTCGTTATGGATTGAAATGAAACAGCAAATATTAGGAGTAAAATTAAGCGAGGTTGCTTTGAAGACCAGTCCAAAGGTTTGGTCTATTCTATGCGGAAGAGCAGATCAGTGCTGAAAATGATAGAAGGGCTTTGCATTTTGCAATTCAGAAAGCCCATCCAAATTCCCAATACCTTCTCAAATAAAAGCTCCATTTATCTCAACTTGGGAGAATTCAGCAATTAATTTTCTCTCCTTCACTGGAGGTTTTTAAGCAGAGGTTGGGTGGCCATCTGTCATGGATGCTTTGGTTGAGATTCTCGCCTTGTAGGGGGCTGGATTAGATGACTCTCAAGATGTAAAATCTGGACATCAGGACTAGCAGTACGATGAGAAAAAATAGCATGCAGAGATCAGGGCCAGGCAAAACCCCAGGACCTGTGAAAGGAGCTGACAGAAATTATAAACAATTAAATGGGTGAAACAGAAGGCACAAACCAAGTGTTTTCTGGGAGACTGAACTCCAAACGCTATCTGCTAACCATCTTGCTGGGACCTCTTCCTGCTTCCTTTTACAGGAAATGACCTGGCAAACATTGCCCTATGTCAGGAAGTGTGAAACCTGCAAATCTCTAGATGACATGGGACTCCCAGTGGTCAGCCCTAATGGGAGTTGTAGTCCAGCTACATTTCCCACCGCTGCCAATATGTGATGTTCCCCAAAAGCAATCAGGACAGGAGACAGGAATGATTGCTGACAGTTTCTGGAGTGAGAACACCAACAGGAACATTTGAAAGCTCTTTTGGAATTGAGAGCAGCTGGACGTGGTGGTTGGCCACAGCACCATCTTGAGTATTGAACAGGCCATAGAAACTGGTTTTGCCTTAAAAACGGCACCGTGTCAAATGCGCCACCGAGGCTTAAAAGGTTGAGTGGATTGTGTGAACAAGTGTTGATTGTACTTTTCTCCTGATGTAGCAAATTCTCTTTGATGGCTTAAGTTGATTTAGCCAGGATTAGCAACACTAATGCTGTGGCACTTTGATGGCTTAAGTAGCATGCGACCCTCATCCCGGGAATCAGTGACACTAAGTAGCAGGCAATTCGCGCCAGAACTTTGCATTTTATTGACAAAGTGTTTCGCCTCGTCAATAAAATGACAGTAAGTCACCCGCAGCTTGTGCATAGATATTCTATAAACTATTTAACATACTGGCATCAAAATTAAGATGCCGAACTGAATTTTAAAAATGAATTACGGCGTTCTCTGAAGGCTGACATATTATGCATTAATCACCTAAGGTTTTCTCCTTTCCGTGCAATTTACAAGTATGGAATTTTATTTTTATTTATTTTAATAAATAGCATTAATTTGGCATCAGTTCACACTTCGTTGATATATGACTAAGGCTTTATATTTCCCCCCCAAAGTGCAACGGAAAGCAACATTCTGTGAGCAAAGATTTTATGTCTCGAGTGCCAGGATGGAGTGATAAGAACGGAAATTGCAACAGTATATTCTCACGCTATATTTGATGAAGTAGCTGAAGAAGCAGTGATTGGCAGAAACTGGGAGTTGACGCCCAAGTAAAGGGGGTTAGGACTGCAGACTAAGGAGGCAATTCTATACATGCCTATCTGGACAGCAAGACTCCATGAACGCAATAGGACTTCTGAGTAGACATTGATAGGGGTTGCATGGTAGCCCATGGAGAGGAAATAAAGAGTGGCTATATAATCAGACGCGGGTGGCGCTGTGGGTAAAACCTCAGGGCCTAGGACTTGGTGATCGCATGGTCGGCAATTCGAATCCCCGTGGCGGGGTGAGCTCCCATCGTTTGGTCCCAGCTCCTGCCCACCTAGCAGTTCGAAAGCACCCCTAAGCGCAAGTAGATAAATAGGTACCGCTTTATAGCGGGAAGGTAAACGGCGTTTCCATGTGCTGCGCTGGTGCAGGCTCACCAGAGCAGCTTCGTCACGCTGGCCACGTGACCCGGAAGTGTCTCCGGACAGCACTGGCCCCCGGCCTCTTAAGCGAGATGGGCGCGCAACCCCACAGTCGGACACGACTGGCCCGAAAAACGGGCAGGGGTACCTTTACCTTTACCTATATAATCAGTACCTGCAGCAATTCAGCCTGCTCATCTTAATGTCTTGTCTGGCCAACTCAGAATGAATTGGGTTAATTCACTCTGCTCATGGGATGATATGACCCAGGAGCCATATCTGGAATGACAGACATTTTAGACTGCCATCTTAAGCATCTTTCCTTGGAGTGAGTGGAGTGGAGCCAGTGTGGTGTAGTGGTTAAGAGCAGTGGACTCATAATCTGGTGAACCAGGTTTGATTCCCCGCTCCTCCACATGCAGCTGCTGGGTGAACTTGGGCTAGTCACACTTCTCTGAAGTCTCTCGGCCCCACTCACCTCACAGAGTGTTTGTTGTGGGGGAGGAAGGGAAAAGGAGATTGTTAGCCGCTTTGAGACTCCTTAGGGTAGTGATAAAGCGGGATATCAAATCCAAACTCCTCTGCTTCTACTTCTGCTGAGGTTAGGACTGGGGTGAGGTTAGGACTGGGGTGTTTGCGTACTTTTTGAGAAGAGATTAGCTGTCTTGAGCATGGATACATAAATGAGCCATCGTATGCATACTAAAATGTCTTGCTCTAAAAACTCTACTGCTTATTTTGTGGGGTTGACCCTCATTCTAGATCATAATATTTATTTCCGGGTCATGTCACCACCCGTTAAGAGATAAATAATGGTTCTCCAGAGAGTCCCTTATTTTGAATTTTTTAAAATGTGATTACCCATCACTTGCTCAGCGTCTGCTGAGATCTCAAGACGCAGAGGAGAGAAAAACACATATTGATTAAAAAGAGTTGCTAATGATAAACATTATGGAAATAGCCAAGTAGCTATTATGAGATTTGTGTGTAAATGAATTAAGGGGGAAAGGAGAAAGCAGTGACTGAAATCATACGTGATGCTGTTAGCAGCTTGAAGGCTTTCTAAGGAGGAAAATGCAGTAGCTGGCGTAATTATTAGCAGTGAATGAAGCAAGTTGTTATTTTTATGTCATTGATTTCTTACATTCCCTGCACTGGCAGATTAATTTAGGCACCGCTGAGACAATCTTTGACACACCAACACTTTGCAAAAGTATGCTGAAGGTCTCATCAAACAACTGTATATCCAAAATTCTCCTTAAAGCAAAAGAGGTCATAATTATCCATTGATGTTTAACACACACACACACACACACACTTTTTGTCGGGGAGGTGAAGGCAGAAGTTTGAGGGCATATATGGGAAAGATAATAGAAAATAAATTGTAAGAAAAGATCTCATGAAAGGCAGACTGAGCATCGATGCTGCAAGTCAGGTTGCCAACTTTTTTATTGACTCTTGCTCTTGTTTCTTTAAGACTAGCCTGATTTGCACAGACATTAGGTGACAATGTTCATCTGTATGCCATGATAATCTTCACCTACCAATTTCTCAAAGTCAAGCTGCTGTTTCACAGGTCCAGATCAATTTCCCCTCCTGGCCATTTGGTAATCCTAGCATTGGCCAGGAAAACAGAACTGCCATGGAATTTCAAATGGAATTGGAATTTGGTGAGGTTTTAAATCTTGTGCACTTCAGAGAGGTTTCAGAAATATGTCTTCTAACTTCCCAGATATATTGGAGGCCAAAAAACGGGGGAGGGGGGCAGTGTCATATATAGCAAGAGAACCCTTTCACCTCCCTGGGCACTTGGTCTTTCCTACAAGACTGCACTATTTATGTAAATACATCCGGATACACTTTCTATTATAAGCTTTTAGTTTTCTAAAATCTTTTAGTTTAGTGTTTATTAAAAATGTATAGGATTATTAGGCATTCAGGTACAAACAATTAAAGGGGGAGGGAAACCACACAGCAAACATGAAGCTATTTTGATTCCAACAAAACTTTGAGAAAGAGAGAAAACTTCTTCAAAACACTGTATATTCTGTGATTTGAATTACCATGGGATTTGCTTTTTTCTGCTTTCATGGCCTTATAATAGCTGCAACGTGCATCTCAACCACATTCTGCGGGGGCTACAAGAATTGGGCAAATACCTATTGTGATCTGCTCATTTAAAACCCTTCAAAATAAATGGCCTTTTCCGTACGGATTTCTTTTAATTGAAACCAGTAGGCCTAAGGATAAAATAGGGCAGATGCTGTTCCTTCTATGTGACCATTTTTGTTTGCACTTCTTTCCTTTTTTTTTAAGGGGGATGGGGAGGAGATGGAAACCAGAATGGGAACCCTGGCTAGTTAGCACAGGGGAACAATTGGTTTTAGCTGTATCCCAGGCAGGGAGACATCCTGCTGCCCTCATGGTGTAGACAAAGGATTACCACTGGGATCTATTGGCCTCAATCTCTGATGGCATGAAATGACAATAGATTGCAGTGCCCCTGAGCATGTGCAGAATGCATTTCCTGCTACCGTTGCTGTGCATCTGTGGAGAAGAGGAAGGGGATGTTTTCTAGACAGATTGGACCCCTGACACGCACCTCTAGATCTTTCAATTCAATGGAGAATGGGCTGATCAGCTTCATTTCAACCCATATGCTGGTCATCCTCCAGCCACTGAAGCTGTTTTAAGACCCATCCAGCCTCAATGGCTGCAGCACATGGGCACTGCAGCAAAATAAGATAAAAATGGAGGATGCTCACCTCTCAAAGCAGAATTGCAAACATTTTATCAGTCTAGCCTTGGCCACCGCTTTGGATCGTAAGTCAACACAGGTTCCTTTCCGCTGATTAAATCAAAAGGGATCAGACAGCAAGTTGGAATAATGAGCGGTGCAATCCTGTGCACAGATACCCCTGAGTAAGCTCCTCTGGAGATGGTGAGACTTGCTTCCGACACACAGAGGATTGTGCCCCAAGATTTCCTTATGCTTCTGGTGTGATTCTCTTTATTTCACCTTTTCCCCATGATGTGGATTTCCCTTTCCCAGACCTACTTGCCTGTTATATTTCTCGTTCAATGTAATGTTTCCCCCGCTTCATTTGTTTGAGCAGTAATTTCTCACACATACACAACAAGAAGTGAATTTACCTTTTTTGAAAATCAATTTTTGTAACAAGTTATTTATATGATACTACTAAATAAACTGTTTTTTTTTTCTAACCTGCTTTTTAAAAATAACTTATTTCAACAGAGGGGTTCGGATATAAACAATTAACGTTAACCAAGGATAAAGGACCAAGCGAGACCAATACAAAAACCCAAATGCAAGAAAAGACAGGCTGATACCTATGCACATTTACCTAAGGTTAAGTCCTACTTAACACAACTGAATTTACGTCTGAGCAGATAAGTACAGGCTGCACATATTCAGTTTCTTCTGATACTGGACCTTGATACCAGACCTTGTGGTGTAGGTCAAGAAATAAACAAGTCCTCTTCTACATTTCCAAGCACAATTCAAAGTGTTGGTGCTGACTTTTAAAGCCCTAAACGGCCTCGGCCCAGTATACCTGAAGGAGCGTCTCCACCCCCATCGTTCTGCCCGGACGCTGAGGTCCAGCGCCGAGGGCCTTCTGGCGGTTCCCTCATTGCGAGAAGCAAAGCTACAGGGAACCAGGCAGAGGGCCTTCTTGGTAGTGGCGCCCGCCCTGTGGAACGCCCTCCCATCAGATGTCAAAGAGATAAACAACTACCTGACATTCAGAAGACATCTTAAGGCAGCCCGGTTCAGGGAAGTTTTTAATGTATGATATATTAGTGTATTTTTGGTCTTTGTGGAAGCCGCCCAGAGTGGCTGGGGAAACCCAGCCAGATGGGCGGGGTACAAATAATAAAATTATTATTATTATTATTATTATTATTATTATTATTATTTTATTATTATTATTATTATAACTCACAAACCCTCATAGAATCATAGGGACCACTAAGATCATCTAGTCCAACCCCCTGCAAAACAGGAAAGTGGGTCTTGAACCCACAACCCTGAGATTAAGAGTCTCAAATGCTCCACCATCTGAGCTAGCCCAGAGCTTAAACTAATGTGACAATAGGCATTTAGCTATTTTTCAGAAGAACCAGAAAGACCTGTTGGGTTAATAGTATGAGAAGCCATACTTGTCAAGTAGAAGGTACTCTTGAGTCTTTATAAAACTCTGAGACTTGAGACAATTTATTTATTCACTCCATGTACAAGCAATATCTCAAACATAATTTTGCTTGCATCCCAAGCTAAAACCACTTACAGGTCAGGGCTTTTCTGGCTGTTTCCATATGTATGCTTCCTAATTAACCAATGAATTATTCTTCTTTTCCGATTGCTTTCTTCTAAGCCTCTGTTTTTCCTTAGATCACTCAACAAGATTGCTCTCTCGTACAGGGTCAGCAAGTAGCCCAGTTGTGTCTCTCAGGACGCAATTCAAGGTTTTGTTTTGTTCTGAAGGCTTGACTGGCTCCCACTTATTCCTTGTTTTCGCTGCTGGAATCAACATTTGGCTTCCTTTCTGAAGTTATTAGCAGCTACAAATTGCTAGGACCACAGCCCTCCAGATGTTGATAGACTCCTGCTCTCATCGGTCTTCCCCTGACAGGAAGATGCCACAGTGTGAAGAGTGCGCAAGCAGACTATCTGTTGCACAACCGATAGACAGAAGAAGCTGACAGCCCTATTTAGAAACCTTGAACTGCCTCTCCAGGCATTAGTCTCACGTTTTTTAAAATGTCCATCACACATTGCAGTACATAGGCATAATAGCCAAAGTGCAACAGATGTGCAAAACATTTGAACAACATTTAACAACGAACTAAACCTCTGACTGCTGATCTTTACATAGCCAAAACACCATCCCTATACAGTGGTACCTCGGGTTAAGAACTTAATTCATTCTGGAGGTCTGTTCTTAACCTGAAACTGTTCTTAACCTAAGGTATCACTTTAGCTAATGGGGCCTCCCGCTGCCACTGCGCCATTTCTGTTCTCATCCTGAAGCAAAGTTCTTAACCCGAGGTAATATTTATGGATTAGCGGAGTCTGTAACCTGAAGCGTCTGTAACCTGAAGCATCTGTAACCCGAGGTATCACTGTATAAGAAGGAGGGATTAATAGACTCAGGAAAATTCAATGTTTGCAGAAGTACGAAAACAATTTCAGGGAAACAATTGTAGGTGGGTGGATAGGAGCTGAGCATGCTTAGCATGGAATGGTGGAGGTCAGAAAACAAAGGGGATGCAATAGAATGAAATATCCTGGAAAAGGACTGGCTGGCATCCTTAATGGGAAAACTCCACTCTGCAATGTTTTGTCATGGGTCCAGCTTGTCCTTTCTGTTACTCTTCCTATCGTCACACTTATACTTGCTCTCTCAGGCTTGCGGAGATCAGAAAGAGGCGAACAACATATTAATATTCTCTGTGAAACTGTGGAAATATTTCCCTAAATATTCACTTCGTTGAAAAAATAATTTAAAAAGTCTCTATCTGGAACTCCCAAATGGTGAAGAAGGTGTGATAAATGCAGAGGTGTCCACAGAAACATGGTCGCAGGCTATAATAATAGCTGTGAAATGTATTCCATTTCCCATAAGAACTGCTTTGAGTTGGCAAGGCTCCTGGCCTTGAACAACTGCGAGGCGTACGAAATTCAACAGGGGAGCCACTTCCTGGCACTCAGAGGCAGTGACAGAGCAAGCTCCACTAGCCTGCTATGCAGCCATTAAAAGAAACAGGATCCGAGCCAGAAAAATAAGTCCACAACCCTAACCAGGACGGCATACATTTCTTGAGCCATCCCACTGCTGATCTTCCGGAGAACGCAGCTTCTTCTCGTTCCCTCTTTCCCTAATATCAGTGGATGATGTTCTCCCTGCTACCCAGACACTCAAAGATGGGGACCGCAAATTTCATGTGAGGGAATCAATACCTTTCACCACCCCCACCCCTCTCCCCAGTTATTTCTCCAGCTACTTTGTGAAAGAAAAGCAACTGTGGGGGGAGGGGGCAGGAAGCATTATTTTGAACAGAAAACAACCGGTGACAACGTGCGATACCTCACTCGAATGTGGCTGGTTTGGATTTATTTATTATCTTAAAAGGCAACCGAAGAAAGTGAAGCTTCATCCTAAGCTGCATTAATACATTTCTGAAATACAAAACATGCCCTATGCTGAATGTTCAAGACACAATACATGTATTTTCCCCCTTCTCCCGAGTGAAAGGCTGTCAAGAATGCTTCCTATTTGTACCTTTCAAATTTTATCTGTATAAAAGGACAGGAGCTCTTTTGTATCGCAGCATAAATGCATACACACAGCTCTCTACACATAGAAGGTTAATGATAATAAAGCCGGTGGATTTTGTGTGTGTGTGTGTGTTTTGTCCAGGGTGAGTAAGTGGGTATTTCTTTGGTAGCATTCCAAACATTAAAATGTGCACACATTCAGAGGAAGTGGTTGAGATGCCCATTCTGCCCGAAAACATTGAGAATAGAATTCTTGTTTCCTTTTCCTCGGAAAGGGAAGAAACAATGGCCTTGCAGAGCCCAATCTTTAAAGATTTCTGATGAGATTTATATGGCAGAAAGAGCTCTCAGAGGCAAATCAATATAACTAAGTACAGTGCTCGGTTACAATCATAGACGCTGATCAAGAAAAGTGGCTGCGTCTTAACGGGCCTGTCATTTTCTTTTATCGTTGCGCAGGGTTGCCAGGGCATTGAACGTGACATTGAAAACGATACACACCGAGCAGCAGAAGTCGAGAAGGAATGGGCCACCGGCTAGGAAAGGGAGAGTTTTCTAATTGGACTAAGGTCCAGAGATTGGGTAACTCCAGATGAGATGAACGAGGAATCCTGATATGCACCGTGCATTACGGGTAAAACACAAAATCCCCAATCCCAGATTTTTATCCCAACACAGATGCACATGTTTTGAGTTATGCTTGCAAGGGAGAATCAGCCAGTGGAAGAGGGTGCTTAATCTGACCCTCACCCAGCCATTGTTCCTTGCGAATTGCTCTCCCCAGACCATTGGTTGGTTGATTGATTGATTGAATGAATGAATGAATGAATTTATATCCCGCCCTATACCCGGAGGTCTCAGGGCGGTTCACAGAAAAGATCAACATAAAAACCACAATATATATAATCAGAATAAAAACAACAACCCAATAACACACACCCAAAAGAGCCACATTTTAGAAGGGTATAGGATGTCAATCAGATCAAGCAAAGGCCTGGTTAGAAAGGAAAGCCAGGTAAATTTCCCTGGGGAGAGCATTCCACAGACAGGGAGGCACTTCAGAGAAGGCCCGTTTTCATGTTTCCACCCACCAGACCTCTCGAAGAGGCACATGAAGAAGGGCCTCAGAAGATGATCTCAGGGTCCAGGTTGGTTCATATGGAAAGAGGTGGTCCTTTAGGTATTGCGGTCCTGAGCCATTTACAGCTTGATAGGTCAAAATCAGCACTTTGAATTGGGCCCAGAAACTAATGGGTAGCCAGTGCAATTGGACCAAATTTTAATTGCTTTTCCTCCCCTCAGCTGGTCTCTGAACCAAGAAGCAAGCCTGGAAGAGAGGCGAGGTGGAACAAAGAAGAAAAGAGCAATGGAAGAACTTAAAAGCCCTTTCTACCAAATCTCCTCCTTTCTTGTCTCTGCATTTGTTTTGCTTTCATCTGCAAACGTGGCATTAGACTCATGCTTGCTAAGAGAAACGTGTAGTACTGCCTTAGACTACTGACCTTTGTGCTTGTTTCTCGTTTCACAGAATGGTTCCATATTTAATAAAAACCAAATTGTAGTACAGGTAGCTCTCTTCTTACACAGGTGTTACCAGTGATGGACCTTCAGGTCTCAAATTTGAGCAGTACCCTCTGCAATGCCAAAATTTAGTGCCCTGACTGCCTCTTGCCTTCCATTCTACATTATACTTGCAGCATCCCGAGGCTCTGCGCCCAGTGTGACTGAACTGGTCATGTTCCCCTAAATCAGTCTCTGGGGTTATATTCCTGGCTATTGCACAGGTAAACAAAACTTTGTGAATCCAGAACCGTACAAAAACCCAGCAAATCACTTCAACGACTCTCCAATCTTCTCTGTGTTTCTCTCCAGCTTACTCTGATCCTTCTCCTACTGCCTCTAAAATTCTCGGCAACCTCCTCCACTCTCTCGCCATGTTCCACCAACTCTCCAACCACACCCAAACACTCTCCCAATGGCTAATAGGATGGTCAACCTTTTCTCTCTCCATCTTCAATCGCATGTGAAGTCTGCATAAGACGAGATCTACCTGTTGTCAGGGACTGGGCAGAGGAGGAATGGTGGAGACCACCTCCCCATCCTGACCCTTCCAGGGAGGAGGAAGGGGAAGACAGTATAGATTTACTACAGGGGTTTGCGGGAGGTCGCAGCTCAGAGGCAGATGAGCGGAAAAGCTGGGAAATCATGGATGAGCCAGAACACCACCCGGCTGACACGTTGTCATTAGAAAGCATTCCAGACCCTCCATTTCCCAGAACCTGGCGAGCCTTAAAAGTAGGAGAGCAAAGAACTCAAAGACAGAGGGCATGTAGCAGCACCCGTGGAGGAGATGATGATGATGATGATGATGATGATGAAGAAGAAGAAGAAGAAGAATGAGGAAGTGGAAGAAACAGGGGGTGGAGATTCACTTGGGACAACGGCATTATCCAAGAGGCTGGGTTCTATAGCCTCTGTCTGTAAAGATTGAAATAAAAAAGGGCGGTAAGAAACTTCCCCTTGTCTTTATACTTTCCTGGGCAACCAGCTGGGAGCCGCTGACAGCATCCTAACACCTGTACATGGAAACATCCCTTGTAACAATAAGCAGCAGGTCACAAGCCTACCAGTTTCCTGTGTGTTTCCTATGTCAGGCCATTGGTCTAACCAGCTCAGTATTGTCTAGGTTGACTGGCTGGCAAAGACTTTCCAGGGTTTCAATTGGGGGACATTCCAAGGCTCACCAGGAGATGTCAGGGATTTGGAACAATTGATCTCATCATGCAGAACTATTCCT